GCGCTGGGTTTTTGCTCAAGCACATGCTGTGATAGAATAAGCTCATAAAGGCTGTTGAGACATAACGTCCTGTGTCTTGAGGGTTTTGTCAAAAGTATGGCACATTTCTTTTGGATGGCTGATGAGTTAGAAATTGCGTATTGGGAATTGCATTTATTCAGAATTCTCTCAATTTATTTCATTATTGTTGTAGTTTTTTGTATAAAACGTATCAGTTTGGCAACATCACTTTAGACAATTTAGTCAATTACACTATCATTGTTGCATTTTGCTGCTCTGTGTTTACTTCAGTAAATATATTATGTGTAACTAAATAAATCACACCTGCAGAGATTGAAAAGCCTGCTGTTTCTGAAGTCATCACAAATCCAGAGCTTTCAAAGCTGGATACCAAAGAGAAAGAACAAGGTAGATGTTTTGTGGCAACCGCACATTGTGTATTCCCCTCGATTTTGATGTGTTTTCCTTGTCGATTTTTGTATGCTGGGAAATCAGTCTGGCTTGTTTCTGATGTCGTATTGACTCCTGAATGCCACATTTCATGTTGTCTCTGGATTGTTGTCGACGTGTAAAAGGAATAATTCAGATCTATGTTTGACCTGCTTGATAACTGCTTAGGTGGACCCTTGTTTATAATGGGAGTAGGGATCAATAAATGTGTTATCACAAATGTTTTATCACAGCAGCAAAGCCTCCAGATGCTCAAGCAGCTGTGACATTACACCCTGAGGATTCCAAAAAAGTCGAAGGTATAAACCCACATTCGTTAACTTTTGTCTCTGTTGGTTAAGCTCTTGGTCATGGCTCTGTTTGTATGTTTTTATTCAGTGAAGTTGGTTTTGTGTTGTCTTGGACATTGTTGCTCTAAAAATGTGTATGGCACATTGCTTTTGGTGTTGCGATGGTGTAAAAAAGTCCAGTTTATGTAAGTTGAATTTAAGCATACTTTATATGTCTACAAATAACTTCAGATACAGTAAAGCAGTCACCAGCTCCAGAAGTGATCTCCAAAGTTGAACCTGAGAAGAAGGAATCCAAAAAGACGGTTGAAGGTATGTGTGATAGTGATAGTGAAGAACACTGGTTTTATTGAGTGTATAAAACTCTCTTGAGCGCTGGGTTTTTGCTCAAGCACATGCTGTGATAGAATAAGCTCATAAAGGCTGTTGAGACATAACGTCCTGTGTCTTGAGGGTTTTGTCAAAAGTATTGCACATTTCTTTTGGATGGCTGATAAGTTAGAAATTGCGTATTGGGAATTGCATTTATTCAGAATTCTCTCAATTTATTTCATTATTGTTGTAGTTTTTTGTATAAAACGTATCAGTTTGGCAACATCACTTTAGACAATTTAGTCAATTACACTATCATTGTTGCATTTTGCTGCTCTGTGTTTACTTCAGTAAATATATTATGTGTAACTAAATAAATCACACCTGCAGAGATTGAAAAGCCTGCTGTTTCTGAAGTCATCACAAATCCAGAGCTTTCAAAGCTGGATACCAAAGAGAAAGAACAAGGTAGATGTTTTGTGGCAACCGCACATTGTGTATTCCCCTCGATTTTGATGTGTTTTCCTTGTCGATTTGTGTATGCTGGGAAATCAGTCTGGCTTGTTTCTGATGTCGTATTGACTCCTGAATGCCACATTTCATGTTGTCTCTGGATTGTTGTCGACATGTAAAAGAAATAATTCAGATCTATGTTTGACCTGCTTGATAACTGCTTAGGTGGACCCTTGTTTATAATGGGAGTAGGGATCAATAAATGTGTTATCACAAATGTTTTATCACAGCAGCAAAGCCTCCAGATGCTCAAGCAGCTGTGACATTACACCCTGAGGATTCCAAAAAAGTCGAAGGTATAAACCCACATTCGTTAACTTTTGTCTCTGTTGGTTAAGCTCTTGGTCATGGCTCTGTTTGTATGTTTTTATTCAGTGAAGTTGGTTTTGTGTTGTCTTGGACATTGTTGCTCTAAAAATGTGTATGGCACATTGCTTTTGGTGTTGCGATGGTGTAAAAAAGTCCAGTTTATGTAAGTTGAATTTAAGCATACTTTATATGTCTACAAATAACTTCAGATACAGTAAAGCAGTCACCAGCTCCAGAAGTGATCTCCAAAGTTGAACCTGAGAAGAAGGAATCCAAAAAGACGGTTGAAGGTATGTGTGATGGTGATAGTGAAGAACACTGGTTTTATTGAGTGTATAAAACTCTCTTGAGCGCTGGGTTTTGCTCAAGCACATGCTGTGATAGAATAAGCTCATAAAGGCTGTTGAGACATAACGTCCTGTGTCTTGAGGGTTTTGTCAAAAGTATGGCACATTTCTTTTGGATGGCTGATAAGTTAGAAATTGCGTATTGGGAATTGCATTTATTCAGAATTCTCTCAATTTATTTCATTATTGTTGTAGTTTTTTGTATAAAACGTATCAGTTTGGCAACATCACTTTAGACAATTTAGTCAATTACACTATCATTGTTGCATTTTGCTGCTCTGTGTTTACTTCAGTAAATATATTATGTGTAACTAAATAAATCACACCTGCAGAGATTGAAAAGCCTGCTGTTTCTGAAGTCATCACAAATCCAGAGCTTTCAAAGCTGGATACCAAAGAGAAAGAACAAGGTAGATGTTTTGTGGCAACCGCACATTGTGTATTCTTCTCAGTTTTTATGTGTTTTCCTTGTCGATTTTTGTATGCTGGGAAATCAGTCTGGCTTGTTTCTGATGTCGTATTGACTCCTGAATGCCACATTTCATGTTGTCTCTGGATTGTTGTCGACGTGTAAAAGGAATAATTCAGATCTATGTTTGAGCTGCTTGATAACTGCTTAGGTGGACCCTTGTTTATAATGGGAGTAGGGATCAATAAATGTGTTATCACAAATGTTTTATCACAGCAGCAAAGCCTCCAGATGCTCAAGCAGCTGTGACATTACACCCTGAGGATTCCAAAAAAGTCGAAGGTATAAACCCACATTCGTTAACTTTTGTCTCTGTTGGTTAAGCTCTTGGTCATGGCTCTGTTTGTACGTTTTTATTCAGTGAAGTTGGTTTTGTGTTGTCTTGGACATTGTTGCTCTAAAAATGTGTATGGCACATTGCTTTTGGTGTTGCGATGGTGTAAAAAAGTCCCGTTTATGTAAGTTGAATTTAAGCATACTTTATATGTCTACAAATAACTTCAGATACAGTAAAGCAGTCACCAGCTCCAGAAGTGATCTCCAAAGTTGAACCTGAGAAGAAGGAATCCAAAAAGACGGTTGAAGGTATGTGTGATAGTGATAGTGAAGAACACTGGTTTTATTGAGTGTATAAAACTCTCTTGAGCGCTGGGTTTTTGCTCAAGCACATGCTGTGATAGAATAAGCTCATAAAGGCTGTTGAGACATAACGTCCTGTGTCTTGAGGGTTTTGTCAAAAGTATGGCACATTTCTTTTGGATGGCTGATAAGTTAGAAATTGCGTATTGGGAATTGCATTTATTCAGAATTCTCTCAATTTATTTCATTATTGTTGTAGTTTTTTGTATAAAACGTATCAGTTTGGCAACATCACTTTAGACAATTTAGTAAATTACACTATCATTGTTGCATTTTGCTGCTCTGTGGATATCAGTAGATATATTATGTGTAACTAAATAAATCACACCTGCAGAGATTGAAAAGCCTGCTGTTTCTGAAGTCATCACAAATCCAGAGCTTTCAAAGCTGGATACCAAAGAGAAAGAACAAGGTAGATGTTTTGTGGCAACCGCACATTGTGTATTCCCCTCAGTTTTGATGTGTTTTCCTTGTCGATTTTTGTTTGATGGGAAATCAGTCTGGCTTGTTTCTGATGTCGTATTGACTCCTGAATGCCACATTTCATGTTGTCTCTGGATTGTTGTCGACGTGTAAAAGGAATAATTCAGATCTATATGCTATGACATGCTTGATAAATGCTTAGGTGGACGCTTGTTTATAATGGGAGTAGAGATCAATGGCTGCGCACCCGTGTTGTTGTATGTGTGTGAATGTGTGTGTAATATATGAAAATAGGCATATCAGGTCTTGTATTATTTAATTTAATTTGTTTTAACTTTTTGCAAAAATACAAATATACAGTCAGGTAAGTTAAAAATGCCATTCCTTACACAGTGCTCTTCATCTTATCAAACTGATTCAATCCCCAGTTCTTCCAGTCACAGTCATTCAAGACCTGGAGAGTCAAGAGGCTGAGGAGGAAGAAAGTGTCACTCTGTACTGTGAGCTTTCTAAACCAGGCCTCCCTGTTGAGTGGAAGAAGGAAACTCAGGTGCTGAGTTGTGGAGAAAAGTACCAAATGAAACAAACAGGATGTTGTTATGAGCTACAGATCTTCGACTTGAGACTTGAAGATACAGGAAGCTACTCGTGCTGTTCAGACGACACGATAAGCTCGGCCTCTCTTGTAGTAAATGGTAGGATGGATACCACTTCAACATTGACTTCTTCCTCCATCAAGTCTTTCATTTAATCTTTTAAGTCATTCTTCTTTATCTCACCCATTCTTGACTTTGTACGGCAGATACAAATCTGGTTGTTTCCTTTCATTCATCAGCTTCCCCAGTCATTTTCACAAAAGATCTTGAAAGCCAAACGGCCGATGAGGAGGACAGTGTGACCCTGCACTGTGAGCTTTCTAAACCTGGTGTTCCTTTGGAGTGGAGGAAAGGAGAACTTGGTCTTTGTCCTTGTGCCAAGTATGAAATCAGACAAACGGGTCACCTTGCATCACTTGTAATCCATGATGTAGACCCAGAGGATGCTGGGAGTTACACATGTGACACTGGTGCCCATCAAAGCACTGCCCAACTAGCTGTGAAGGGTATGCCTGCTGAATAAACCCTGTTGTTTGTAGTTAAGATAATTGTGTTGCCAATGAATTGACCAAAGACAAAATAATGTAATGTAAATATCAAACATAAGTCTTGGTTGTCCTAAGTTGTTGCTCCTCCACTTCCTCCTCTGCAGCCCAGCCTGTCCTTTTCAAAACCCAGCTGCAGAACCTTATAAGACAGGAAGGGGAGAGCGCTAGTCTTCGCTGTAAAACCACAAAGCCGGGAGCCAGTGTTGTCTGGAGGTTTGGAGACAGGGTGCTGGCATCCAGCAGCAAGTATCATCTGAAACAGGAAGGGACTGTAGTTGAGCTTGTCATCTATAAACTGCGAGGAGCTGACTCGGGAGAATATTCTTGTGATGCAGGAAACCAGAGGACTTCAGCTGTCCTCAGTGTGCAGGGTAGGAGCTGTCTATTTAAGACTGACCTTTTCATGCACCCTCTGGAGTCACTTCTTCCACTTCATCACTTCAACACTTGAGCATGAAGTGCATCAACCTTTCATCTGGATGTCCTATTTTCACTTTAGACTTGATTGCATATAAATATTCCAGTGTTATTTCTCATCCCACACGTGTCCTTATTCTTCCCTGTTCTCAAAGCACTTGTAGTTATTGACAGAAGCACTTTTCTGTTGAGCTTGATCACTCATCTCTTCCCGTTATGTGTGCCTGTCTGTAGTCTCTCATCACAAACAATAACACACCTTTTACTTTCTTTTCTTCACTTGCTACTCACAATAATCCTTATATATTTAATCACACTTTGATCACAATCTGACTAGCTTGAACTATGTCTTTGTCAAGAACTTCACTGAACAAATAAGTAACTATTCTTCTGAAATGTATCTTTCAAACAGAGGTCGAGGTTACAATACTGAAGTTCTTGGAGAGCTGCGTTGTGTACCAGGGTGACGATGTCCGCTTTGAATGTCGGGTTTCTCGTGAGGAGGCACCTCTGGCCCAGTGGAAACTCCAGGATGTCCCACTACAGAATAACGAGATGAACCTGATCAAGTCTGAGGGCTGCGTACACAGCCTCAAACTCCGGGGCGTCACCACGGCTGACTCGGGAACTGTCACTTTCACAGTGGGTAACCACACATCAACTGCTTCTTTGACAGTCAAAGGTAAGATACATATTATGCATTGCCTATGAGGACCAGTATTCATCCTTGCGACTTTGTTTCTCCAGTAACATTTGGAAAGTTTACTTGCATTTATCGTCTTTCTTGTGGAACGCATTCCCTCTATTTCTTCAACAAGCATGCCAACACATGGATGCTTGTGATTTTCTTTCTTTTCACTTCATACTGACTCGTTATGCATTCATATATCCCACCCTTTAATTTGTATTTAATTTGCACTTAACTGCATATTCCGTCATATGTCTACAGTTTATGCATGTTTATTCTTCTTCCTCCTTTTCCACTACCAACAACCTCGAACATTTCCCATTATTTTCAACATGTTAAAGTGTGTTTCCTTGAAATTCTTGTTTATTGCAACTTTTCTGCACTTTTTTCCCTGTACACTATTTAATCTGTATTCAGCCTGACACACCCAGTGATTAACCACGTGATATTAATCAACAATTGATATTGTTTGTTTGTTGTGTACTGTAGGGCAAGGTGTTTAAGATGCTGTGTTCACAATGTCACAGATTTGAGTCGAGCCTGGAAATCTTGTTTCATGTCCTCTCCCATCTTCCTACCTCACCTTTTTATTGTGCCCCTCAAATAAACTGGAGGAATCCCCATAAAAAGTGTGGATTTGTATTTTAATTTTTTTCTTAACACTCTTCCTCTGTGTTTTTTTTAATTGTTCTCGGAAACGGTAAACATTATGTACCGCAAGGCCATTCATTCATTGAACAGACAAATAATTTCCCGAGAAATATGTTTATAGATACATTCATTGCAGATTTTTTTCCCGCTAAAACTTCAAAATGGAGTGTAGATAAACCAGTGGCCTTACAGTTCTTTTCATGCTGCTGTTGCCTCTGAGTACTGTGTTTTTTGCGATGACTGTTGTTACCGAATAAATCTTTGATATTTGTCATCTTAATTAATTAACCTCTTTCTGGCAGCCGCTCCTGCAACATTCAAGAAGGAGCTGGAAAGTCAAGAGGCCATTGAAGGAGACAAAGCCAGCCTGTCCTGCGAGACTTCCAGCCCCGACTGCAAGGTGACCTGGCTGAAAGACTCCACTGTGCTCATCCATGGGGAGAAGTACAGTTTGGAGCAAACCGCTACAACGCACATCCTGGTGATACACAAGCTGGATGTGAAGGATAGCGGAGAATATACCTGCGAAACTGGGGACAAGAAAAGTACAGCTACCCTGACCGTGAAAGGTAACAGAGCATCTCATCTGTGTCTCTCTTGTCATCACCCTTCCTGAAGTTCCTTTTACACTCATCCATCCCATTAATAAGAACTGGATCAGATCTCCTCAGCATCTTACTCATGGAGTTTACAATCTTTAAGTTTAAGTGTGATGTCATAGTTGGCATGTAGTGAGAGCTTTACTTAAAGTGGACCTATCATGCTATATTTGAATAATATAGTGTAGGACCATACCTATATAAGGCATATTTATACTTTTTTTTTTTCAAAATACCAAACAGATCATGCATTTTAGCCATGCCTCATTTTGGTCAATTTGACATTTTTTAGCTCTGTTTTTGCAAGGGCAGATTCAGTGAGAACAGCACCATCTACAGGCCTGCCATATGTACTACAGCGTCTCCAGCGCTTTCGAACGGCAATGGCCGTGGCTGTCTCCTCCTGATTGGTGGAGTTGGCCCAATAGCCGTAGCGCCAATGTCCTGACGTCAGGACAGTGTTCAATTCTGGATCAGCTTTTATCAGATCCGTTGCAGCCCCTTTTTTAGAGATTTGGGTATGGAGGAAAATAGAGAGGGTTGTGTTTTCTGACACTTGGTGAGTTCCCTGGAACACCGGGGACACATATTCATGTATAAAAGACGTACAAAAGTGCATTTTGCATGATAGGTCCCCTTTAAATATTCCGACGTTGGCTCGGTTTTTCAACAATTTTTGTTAGTACTTACTAGTACTGCCATTTATAGGTCACCAAATTACAGATATAGTTACTGGATTTGAATCGGGGTTTGTGTGGTCAATAAATGATTTATGTCAGAATCCATGTTCCATGATCAAACTTGTGGCATCAGGTTGTATATAGGGATTAAAAAGAGATTCTTGGACACCTTGTTACTGATGCCTTCTGGAAGCTCAAGAGATCTGATCACTTCCATCATCCCATTCACCCTCAGCACGTGTTCGCATCACTCGAGAACTCAGCGATGTTACTGTGACAACGGGGCAGGATGCTGTCTTTGAGGTGGAGTTGTCACACCCAGGCGTGACAAACAGCGAATGGTGGCTTGCAGATAACCTCCTCCAGAATAATGACCTGAATCAAATGAGCAGCCAGGGCACAGTGCACCGACTGACCCTGAAGATGGTGACCACAGATGAATCTGGAGATGTTGCCTTCGTGTTGGGAGAAGAGAAGACTGTGGCCTGTCTTCTGGTGGAGGAGAAGCCCAAAGGTAAAGGAGACGGCACGGTCGCTCCTCACATCCATCTCCATCAACCTCCCAACAGCTTTGTCTTGGCAAATCGAAATATGCTGGCATCATCTTCATCAACATTCTAACATTAGCATGTTATTCTTTCATGCTTATGCTAACACAAATATCCTAATTTAATGATTTAAACTACTTAACACTGAAAATTGTAGATATTGCAGAACAGGCATTGTTTTCAATACGTAATTTTAACCTTAAATACTTGAAAACTTTAAACTAATTATCACCACGTTTGTGAGGTGAGGGAAACGTTAAAACTGCTTCCATTATCAAATTGAGTTTTGCGTTTCCCATATTTACAGTGCTAATACTAGAGAAACCACACAACACTTCGGCAGTAGAGGGTGAAACTGTCACTCTGGCCTGCACCATCTCTGACACCAAGGCTTCTGTCACCTGGAAGAGAAACAACACGGCCATCCAAGCAGGTCTCAAGTACGACCTGAAGAGTAACGGAGCTCTTCACCAGCTTAGTATCAACAACCTGGTGCCTGAGGACTCAGGAACGTACACGTGTGACACTGGAGATGCACAGTGTGACTCCACCTTGACTGTGCAAGGTAAAGACCGATGCCACAACACACAAAAAGTGTTGATCAGATTCAGGAATGGGGACGGTGGATTGAAATAACCAGCTGAAATTTGAACTTCCACTTGCCTAAACCACACACCAAGCTTGGCATCATTGTCATCAGCTAAACTTTTTGTCTAGAGATGTTTGTCTTGTCATCTCAACTATCAGATGCCCAACTCTCCGTCACCACATCTGATCCCAAACTTTCCCATTTTTAATTTTGACCAGGTACCCCCGTGTCCTTCCGCAAGGAGCTCAAGAACCACGATGCCATAGAGGGTGATGATGTTACCCTGCACTGCGAGCTGTCTAAGCCAGGTGTTCCTGTGGAGTGGAGGAAAGGAGGCCTGGTCCTCAAGCCCGGTAAGCAGTTTGAGATGAAGCAGGAAGGATGCATTCAAGAGCTCTGCATACGGAACGTGGAGCCCGAGGACAGTGGCTACTACACCTGTGATGCGGGAGACCAGCTCACCACGGCTTCTTTGGCAGTGCAAGGTAGCCTATTTCAAATCTGTTTCATCAATCTTCGATTTCACTGACAGTAAGGTTTAATTGTGGCTGTATTCTTCAATTTATTCTTGCAATAGAATAGTAGGTATGTTCTTAAGACTTAACTACATCTTTGTTACTTGTGATATTGCATGTTTTTTTGTAATCTATCTTAAATAATCTTCTCTGTCCAGTGGATACAAAAGAGGCTCAGTGTCTGCATATGATATTTGTTCACTCAACAGCGAAAGAAGTTTCCTTTGTGTGTGGTCTTAAGACCACTGACGTCTTTGTTGGGGAATGGGCAACCTTCTCCTGCCAGCTGTCTGGTAGGGCCCCTCACAAGGTGCAGTGGTGGCTGGATGGCACCTTGCTGGAGAACAGCCCCTTTAGTGAAATAGGGCTGAGCCCAGGCAACATCCACACACTCACCTTAAAGAACCTGGCCACCGATGACTCTGGCACTGTCACATTCGAAGCTGGCAGTTTAACATCAACAGCCAAGCTCTTAGTCAAAGGTATCATATTGTAAAGATAATCAATAATTAGAGACTCAGATAAGGAGGCTTTCAGTCTCATTATTGACCCTGCAGAATTGTAATTATACGTTTCACTCCTAAAATTGAAATTCTTCTTGAAAACACATAGTTGTAAAAGTTGTGTTTTTGTCTACCCATTATACAATGTAACTGATTACAATATTTGTCAGCATTTTAAACTAATATGTTAGAAACTTAAATGTATAACATTTCCGATGTTGGCAACTTGAAATTAACCAATTATAATTTGGTGAAAATCGTCTTGTTGAATATGAGTAAATATTCATTGAATTCGAATGTTTTCTGCAGGGTCCCTTTTAAAAATGTTTTCCAATGGATTAAAAGTGGATATTTTTTTCCATTGCATTGCTTCCTCATGCATGGGCCGCATTTTTCCTAATTTCATTAATAAGAATAATTATGATAATAATGATGGCAATTGATTACCCCATGCTGTATGCTTTGATACAATTAAAACACGCCACTGGGTGCAGCACCACAACACAGTTTTATTTGAGTATGGTAGTTTAAAAACTCAAAGATAATTAAACCAGTAAGATGTGCCAATGAAAATAAATTACCATCTTTTCATTTTAATAATGGAATGAGGACATGGAGCTTAGGTTAATTGGTGACTTTAATTCAAATTGTGTATACGTGTGAATATGAGCATGAATGGTTGTCTCGCTGTTTGTGGCACTCCTGTGATTGACTGGCAACATGTCCAGCTTTGGTTCGGAGTATAGCTGATGGATGCAAACCTTTGCTAACTGTGCATTACCCTTGGTTCTGCTAATTACCTGTTGGCTTTATTCTGCAAGTCTTAATCATCCTCACTCTTAATGGCTGTGTCAACATCGAAGCAAGCAGAGCTGGTTTGCTAAAAATGCGGGGTGCTGCTTGTTCAGTGCGTCTCTGACGTTTCAAAATGTTCTGTTTCCGTTCCAACCGGAGAAAAACTGCCAAAAAGAAATGGTTAGAGACTGCACTGAAACTGACTTGATGGTACTTGTTAGCATCATTGACTCCATTTGGCCACATCTTTCCTTAACAGTGTTGCCAGATCAAGGTAGGGTATTTTCTAAAAACAAAGTGCATATTGTAGGAACACTGATGGATGTGAATGACTGTGTCAGTTACGTAGCTGGCAGATCTTCAGCTGCATTTCAGAGATGCACCGTTAGGTGGCTATATAATGAATAAATCCCCATTAACGTTGCATTGAAAGTGCTCTTGTCTGTTTTGCAAGAAGAGATGAGTTATCTTGGGCCTTAAGATGTTCATTGCCATGTCTACACTGTACTGTGCATATGACAATAAAGCCTTTGAATCACAGCATTATTGGAAACAACTTCTGTGATTCAGGATCGCCCAATCAGTTACATTTTTAAAGTAGGAGCTAAAAGCATGATTGTGATTGAGAGTGATTATTATATGGTTAGACTTGCAGCCCAAAGTGAACACGTACCTTAGTAATGAAAATGATTTTGATGATTTTAGTAGTAAATCACTAAATATTGACAGACACAATGTTATTTTGAGAAAGTGCTGCTCCACCCATCCATGCAGGCCGGCTCCTGTTGAATACTCATTTACCTTAACTATCCCATCCCATCAAGGCCTGCCCCTAACTTTCAAGCACTAAAAACTCTAACCTCCCTACACCCGCCTTTTGAGTTTGGCATTTATATTCACCCATCTCCCCTCCTCTCCCATCAGCTGCTTTCACTTTTTGGCCCTTATCGTGACCATTACTCTAAATCCTGACGGTTGGGCTTTTTGATCCCCTAATCATTTTCAGACCTCAAGTGGGACAATATAGTGGCCATCTAAAATACTGTACTATGACAAGTAAAAATGTTTCTCGACAATCCATGAAACATTAAAAAAAACACTCAAATTTAACATCACTTCAACATGATTTTTGGTGGTTAAAAAGCCCATCGTCATGATCTGCGCTTATCTTTATATATATTGGTCAAACCCTGACCCTTTGACCCCTGACCCCAACCTCAGATCCCACAGTTGAAGTGGTGAGCGAGCTGGAGGACATTCGGGTGCTCGAAAACCAACCGGCTGAGTTCATCTGCCAGTTCTCACGGCCGGTCAAGCCTCAGTGGAAAAAAGATGGGCAGCCATTACAGCCTGATGGCCGAAGGGTGGTAGTGGAGCAGGACTGGAATGTGGCTCGCTTGTATATTAGCCATGTGTCTGCTGAGGACAGGGGAACATACTCCTGTGAGGCAGAGGGGACCTGCGCGGTCGCTTCACTTTTTGTGGAAGGTGAGCTTCCCTGCATTGGGAAAGGGCTCTAACCTCTAGGGAGTCTCCTGTGCTCCATCATATCTTACAGGACAAATTAACTGATCAGCTATTCATGATACAGTTTGGGCCCTTTGTTGATGAATCTCAAGTTATTTGAAATTCTTTACATTTTTATAATGCTTTCTTTGTTTTTTCGTTTGTTTTCTACAGGAAAACCCATTGACATTGTCCAGGGCCTGGAGAATGTAGAAACCTTTGATGGAGGTGAAGTGCTGCTTGAGTGTGCCCTGTCTCGTCCTGAGAGCAAAGATTGCCACTGGTTCCTCGATGGGAAACCAGTAAAGGAATCCCCTAATGCTGAGATTGTAACATTTGAGAGTGGTCGTCGTCATCTGCTCCTTCTGAAAGAGTTGCGAGTGACAGACAGTTGCACAGTGACTTTCAAAGTTGGCACAGCCTCCACATCGGCCCAACTCTCCGTCAAACGTGAGTCTATCAAATAAAAAACAAAAGACTTAAGTTGTTTTCATAGGATTATCTTGTCTGATTATGCATTGTAATGTCATACACTTTCACTGACAAACTTTTATATTTAAATCTGTGTATTTTCCCTTGAAGGCTGGCAACTGGATGTTGTGAAGAGTCTGGAGGACAAGGTGGCTGCAGTGGGAGAAAAGGTTGAGTTTAATGTCGAACTCACAGAGCCTGTCCCTTCAGCAGAAGTAGCCTGGTATATGAATGGGGTTGAGATCAAACCCAGCGACCTCTGGGCCTTGAGAGCTGACGGCTGTTCTTATCGCCTCGTCCTGAGGAAGGCCCCTCTAATGCCACAGCAAGAAATTACATTTGCTGCTAGAGATGCTCTCTCTTTGGCCAAGCTCACCATCATCAGTAAGTGTTTGAAAACGTTTTCTAGCCTGTATGGGAAAATGATTTGATCTTTCACTTATTTGTATCTTTGTTTTTTAACACATTTAGTTTTTAAGTTTTAAAATGTAAATGTTTGATAGAAAGAAAAATCAGAAGGATACAAATGTAACCACAGTTCGCAAATGGTTCAGACCATAACGTGAAGTTATTTTCATGTTGTGTTGCTTGTCTAATTTCAGTGTTTTCTAAGTGCATGATCTGATTATTATTATTATTATTATTCCGGCTACTTATTTTATATATGTATTCTGGTTATGTACTCTATGTTGCAACTCCACATGTAACAGGATGGACGGATAGTTTGATACTATAAAATAAAGTATACCAGATAAAGATCCCTGTAGTTCTTGATTATTGTTTAATCATCTAATGCCTGCTTCTTTCCTTTTTCACAGCTGTACCTGATCCTCCAGAGGACCCAGAAGTTCTCACTAAGACAGAAAGGTCTGTCAACCTGTCTTGGTTCACTCCTCTACATGATGGAGGGAGTCCCATTCTGGGATACAGGGTGGAGATGCGTCTGGTGGACAGTTCCCTCTGGCTCCCATGTCACTCTGACCCTGTGTTTAACACAGAGTTTGTGGTTGAAAATCTTACAGCAGGGAGTGGCTACAGGTTCAGAGTGGCAGCCACTAACAGAGCTGGGATTGGAGAGCCTGTTGAGATGCCACACACTGTGCAGCTTGGTGAGTGGATGTGTGGTTTAGTTTATGAGAAACTGTACTTCAATTTGCTTGTGTGCCAGGGCTGTTTGCTTATTATTCATAGTTTAACTACTGCCTTTAAACTAAATACCTGAGTCCTGACCTCAAAACCCTTCTCAGAAAGTATTTTTTGGCTTTATATGTTGTACTACTACAGTAAATGGCATATTAGCAGTTGAGAAATCTTAAGAAGCTTTATAATTTGCTATAAAATGTTTATTTTGTCCTTTTATTGTTGGACAGAAGCACCAATCCAGCCAGCAGTTTGCCCAGGTAAGGCATTGTGTGTATGGTGTGTAGGCTTTCTTAAACTCAATTTAAATGTGTCAAATTTTAACAGGGTCTCACAACTAAGTTGGGTGCTGACTTTAATTTCTATATCAATCAATCAATCCATCAACAACTTTATTAATCCTGCAAGGGGCATTTGGTTATGAGCAGCTTGTGTCATGTACACAGGCAGGAACATACAGGAAGAGGCACACAGATACACCCAGGAGCAGAGATTTGGATAATTCCAATTCACACGATAAATAGTTCATAGCATCACAATAAATAAATAAATAATTAATCAAGTAAAAAAAAAAAAAAAGAAACCTATCAAGAATTTTCAAGTTTGAGTGCAGAGGAGATGAATTGTGTTACTATCAACATAGTAACAAACAAATCTCATTGTGGTTATAGGTGTAGAAGCCAAACAGACTGAGGCTGAGACTATGGGACAACCCAGTCTGCCTCCAGAAGCTGCTGAAGAAGGTGATGTTCATGAGCTGTGGGAGGAATCGGCCAAGAAACGCCGCATGAGTCGTGAACCCACTCTGGACTCCATCACTGAACAACCTGAGGAAGACGGTAAAGGTGGTAAAAAGAAGTCAGAGAAAGTGGAAATTAAATCAGAAGAGAAGGAGCTGGCCATTGTGTCTAAGACGCAGGTAGAGTCCAAAATTAGCACCACCTCAGAGGATGAGTCTGTTTCTGGGGGTTCAACACTTGTCTCCTACCTCAAGAAAAGCAGCACTTCTTCTGTCACAGCAACCAATGAGAGAGAGACTTTGACTACTGAGAAGTTCTTCGCACATTTCAAGATGGAAGAGCAGACAGTGCAGGAGTCTAGGGTGGAAACAACCATAATACAGCAGACAGATGCAAAACAGGTGTCAACAGAGGAGACTGAGATCATGGAGATCAGTAAAGAGGATGAGCCTGAACTCAGAGATGCTGCCATTAAGATTCAAGCGGCCTTCAAGGGCTACAAAGCCCGCAAGGACATGCGCCCTGTCTTTAAAGATGCCTTCAAAGACCAGACCAAAGAACCTAACGGCACTATACATCTAGAATGCATTGCAGAAGGTAAACCTGATAAGGTGCGCTGGCTGAAGGATGGAGAACCACTGACTGATGGCAAGCACCACCATATTGATATCTACAATGATGGCACTTGCTCACTGGTTATCACTGCCATCACCATAAAAGATACTGGGGTCTACACATGTGAGGTCACCAACAAGTATGGAGTCACGTCTCACAGTGGTAAGGTCACAGTAGGAACGGAGAGAGAATCATCTGGGCGGCGGCCGCTGACCGTGGGCTACAGTGCCGACAGCGAGCCGGACAGCTCCTCAGGAAGTGAGATGGATGAGTCTCTGAGGCAGGCAAGCAAACGTCTGTGCCGCCTGCTGCGATCAAGTCTCCCTCCGAATGTTGAGGAAGAATCATTTGTCAGCGCAGATGAAGGAGACCTGGGTCCTCCAGATCCACACTCTTACCGGGAGGACGACTGTTACATCTACATTCGTTTTGACTCCCGGACAGAGGCTGAGGTTGCTTCAAAGAGGTTTCAGGAGATGTTTACAATCCATGGGGTTCCTGTGGATACCAGCATCCTGGAGGCTGGGCCTCTCAAAGTGGAGCTGCGAATTAGAAAGATGGGCTACATGCAAGATGGCGCACAGACCCCCACACAAGAAAGACAGCCAGTTGCGTTTATGGCTGGAGCCCAGGGTAAGAAACACATGGCTGTTGGATCAAGATACATTTGTAATAGACACTCTAAGTCTAAATCATCAATATTGTGAAACAAATATGTTTATTTTTGTGAGGAAATGTTTAAGTAGCATGTCATATGCATGTATATATTGTATTTAATTGGCAAAAAAGCTAACTACTTAGACACATATGCACATCCTTAGCTGTTAGTTCTGTGAATCTGCCAAATAAAAGTGATGTTCATAATTGACCTGTACTTTTTAGGTATTTTTTGATTCTCTGACTATTTGCTTTTGCTACCTAGCTGCCCCAGTCTTCTTGACTGAGCTACAAAGTCAGGATGTTCCTGACGGTTATCCAGTCAGCTTTGACTGTGTTGTGATTGGCAAGCCCCCTCCCTCCGTTCGCTGGTACAAGGACGGTAAATTGCTGGAGGAGAATGACCATTATATGATTAATGAAGATCAGGAAGGCTGCCACCAACTCATCATCACCACCGTGCTGCCCACTGACATGGGCGCCTATCGTTGCACAGCTGAAAACAGCAGCGGCATCACTGCCACTAAGGCTGAGCTCAGGGTTGACAGTGAGTAAACTTGCATAATGTGCACACAAACGTTTAAACCGCTGTTGACAATGTCTCTGTTTTCGTATGCTTGTTAAATCCTACTCAAAAGTGTCCTCACATTGAGACATCATTGCAAAAGTGACCCTTGTCCAAATTGGTCCAAAATGATTGTAGAAAATGTCTGAAACTCAAAATTACACAACTACATGTTTCCACACACATATTGTCCCTGATTTTATTGATCACTGATTAATACTATACTTCAATCTTTCCATCAGTGTCTTGCAGCTCAGATTATGACACTGCTGCTGATGCCACTGAGACATCTTCCTATGTCAGTGCCAAGGGCTACATGTCCAGGTGAATTTACTTTAAATGTTGTTTTATGCTGTAAAGACAAAAATAAATAAATATATTCTATGATATTGATAAATACTGAAATCTATATGTATACTGTTCTTCTCTCCTTGTGTAGGGAAACTGAGACCTTTGAGTCTGTAGCTGAAGATGATCAGCTTCCACAAGTTGTGGACGAGCTTCATGATGTTCATGTCTGTCCAGGTTCACCTATTGCTAAGCTGCAGCTCAAAGTAAAGGGTGAGTTTACGAGACAATATACAGATACCAATACCTGGGCTTTGGATGTCCGCCGATACCAGCCACTGACACATTTCCAGTGTTTAAATAATAAGCTGTATGCCTCACTGTGTGGAAGTGAGGCATCATTCTTCTATGTGTAAAGCAACTTCAGGCTTGACTTAAACTTGAGTTGATTGATAACGTTGTTGGTGTTATATTACTACTGCCACCCTTCAAATGTAATAAAACATTTTATTTACATGTACAAGGATCTGCCTGATTGTCACTGATACTCGATCCAGTTAGTCCTACTAATGAGGTAAACCTACAGAAATGTTATTATGTCAAAAAGAATTCTCTCCAATACATATATTGTCGTCCAGGCTTCCCCAAACCCAGAATATACTGGTTCAAAGATGGCCAGCCCCTGCGCCCTTCAGACAGGGTTCTGCTGCTAGCAGAGGGAGATGTTCATGGTGTTGAGATCCTGGAGGTGAAGAAAGAGGATATGGGAGAGTACTCTGCTTACATCAGCAACGCAGCTGGTTCTGCATACTCCTCTGCCCGCCTGATGGTTCTGCGTATGTACTCACACATCTGAATTGTTGCCTATGCACAAAAAGCCTTAGATACTTTGTTTTTAAACGACTTTAGTAAAACAAATGTTGTTAAGACATTTCAAGATACAGAACTTATTTTCTTTTGCAACAGGTCCAGGTGAAATGATGCCACAAGATAAAAGAGGTAACTTGCAATTATCCTACAAGTAGTAACACAGGCACTTTAGGCGATAATAGTATGTTTAAAATGACCATGCTTTTGTCACAGACCCCAAGGTGCCCCTGGTGCCGCCCCGCTTCATTGAAAGGTTCAGCAACAGGAAGGTGAAACATGGAGCCAGCATCACTCTGTCTGTCAAAGTAGAAGGTTAGTTGAATGTATGGTATGGTTGGTTTAAAGTATTTTAACACCTACAGTAATCTGGGGACATCCACAATGTTGATCTCTCCTTTCCCTTTACTTTTTCAGGCTCTCCTACTCCAATGGTCTCCTGGCTTAAGGAGGAGTCAGTGGAAGACGTCCTGTGGATAAAGCCTGACACCAAGGGATACAAAATAGCAAGCTCAGGGCGCCAGCACAGCCTCATCTTGATGGACGTGGGCACAGAGTACACCGGAGCCTACACCTGCATTGCCACCAATAGAGCGGGACAGTCCATCTGCACGGCCCACCTCGAGGTCGATGATGGTAAGGAAAACTAAATTATTTTGGCACTCTATCTAGAAATATGTTCACTTTTGAGCAAATTCTTAACCAAGAACACACAAGAGTACAAAAGTGTTACTTCCTTAGTTTGTTTTCTGGGTTTGATTGTAACTGAATGTATGTGTTTATACCCCTTTTCCCTAGTACCACAACCAAAGAAAGAGACCAAACTATCAGAGTAAGTTATTTTTTCATATTGCACCTTAAAAAATACATGTATACAGCACATTTTAAATACATGTTTATATGAAAATAAAATCTAACATGGAACAATTCTCTTCAGGGTGTTTGGATTCACAGTTAGTCCTCCAGAAGAGGAGGTTGTCAAAGCAAAAGGTGAGACATATCCCCTGCACTGGCATTTCATATTTATAGTTATATCATCTGTTATATATAGTAGCATAAATGATTTGTAGTAATAACTACTGCAATATTGATGGTGTTTTCTCTCTTTGTGTGTGCCTTAAGAGAGTAAAATGTCCTACCTAGGTGAAGTAGGTACAGAGGAATTCCTCATGAAACTGACAACCCAGATCACTGAAATGGTATCGGCAAAGATGACCCAAGGTAAGTGTATGCTGTGGACGAATTATGTGCAGCAAGGCAAGGATACAATATCTAGGTTTATTTTTTCTTTCAAGAAAGCTGATTAAAAATAAAAAAATCTCACTTGAGCTAGCCTAAACAGCTGATTCAAGTGTTTCTACAAACCTAATTCTTACATCACAAAGCTTATTTAAATAACGGCTTTAAGTAATCAGATAGCATGAAATTAAGCATACAGAGGGGTAGATATCCCCTTTTGGTTTAGAATATTTACAAAAAACACAGGAAAATGTTTCAGCTCAAGACTTTAAGGTAAAAGGTAAACACTCCACCTGCATGCACAACACATGTGTTCAAATGGGATGAAATAGATTCCCAGATTATTTTTTCAGTGTGGAATTCATTATTATGCTCTTATCATATTTGCAGCAAACTAACTGTGACAAGATAACATGTTGTAGGTCAAAGAATGAAAAATTGCTAACTGCCATGAATGGCTTTGCTAGTTGCTAATGCTAAAGATGCTAAAGCTATACATGTAATCCACAAATTAAGTTGGATACATGGTTTAATTAACAACATACTTGGTTGAATTCAAATGAATACTTAAGTTTGGTTGAATTCAGTGAAATGATTCTGATTATACAATAATTCTGAACGTTTTTAATCTGAATGTGTTAGTACTACAATTCTTGATTTGCCATTCACTTTCCATTACATTTGAGGTGTTGCTGTTCTACTTGCCTGTGCATGTTGTTCTCTATCCATGAGCATATGACTTATTATTGCCTCATACAAACATAATCTCTTTAACACCTGACATCCATTAATTTAGCAATCCAACCCAAAACAATCTCATCAAATCATTAATTTGTTATTCAGACAGTTCACAGAATCATGAAGTGCTCCAGTGGATGAAATCTTGGCCCAAAGCTACCAGTATGTATCCAAAGTGCTTCAGCTTCATCATTAATATGCATCTTCCCATTGAGTTTTGGATACAGATGTCTTATATATTATATCTGAAGAGCAACTACTTCCTCTTTTGCAATTTCAACATTTTATTTGTTGAAATTTCCAATTTAATTTAATTGAAATAATCTTTATATGAATATAAGGCTCACCAACTTATAGCTGAAATACATGCTCACTGACAGACCTGTATGTGTAGAGCTCAGATAATACGTTTTATCTGTAATGTAGCTTTTTTATGCATGTTTTCACAATACTAACACACAGCAAAGCATTAAGAATGAAACTATTGTTGTGGAATTTATTCGTATTCTCTCTCTACATCCCACTTTTTTCATTAATTTAAACCAATATATAAAATGATCGAAAGGGGTGAAGAGTCAATATGTTTTGATGGGCACTACCAAGTAAGTAAAGCACCAGTAGATGCCAGTAAAGAGTCACACAATGCTTTAAATGGGACCTTGAGATGAAGGTCCGGCTTCTGTCAGGCTCTGAAACACTGGCCACCAATAACTGATACTAAATTCAAGACAAAAACATGTATCTTCATTGAGAGCAAGATACAGCATGATAATCATTAATCATGATACATAACAGTGACATATTACGGTTAAAAGATAGGTTGTTTTAATGGTAAACTCTCCTTTTTTTCTTCAATTGACCCGTCTTCTTCTGATTGCCCCAGCTTCATTACGCGTACCAGGTGCTGACAGTGATGATGAGACCAAGACTCCTTCTCCTTCACCTCATCACGGCCGCTCTCGTCCTCCCTCTCTCATCGCTGACTCCTCCTCTGAGTCTGATGAGGGGGATGCCAGGGGAGAGGTGAGATATAGAAAGGCTCACTGTGATGTAATATCAGTATCAACTCAAAACCCACCTGTTCAAACTGGCATTCTCATCATAAACTGTACCCTGTGTCCTTCTGTAGTCCATTTCCTGTTGTTTGTCTTGTTTTACCCCGGCTGATATTTCACTAAATCCACTGTTTTAATTGTTCCCTATATTGCCCCTATGCACTGTAAGGTGTCCTTGGGTGCTATGAAAGGCGCCCCCCAAATAAAATGTATTTATTGGTCAAAGATATTGATAAAACACTCTTAAAGGTAGGGTAGGTAAGTTTGAGAAACCGGCTCGAGATCGCTAGAATTTGAAAATACACAACCGGAGAAAATCTGCCACTTCCTTATAGAGCCCCTCCTCCAACACACACGAACGTGCACATGACCAATGAGGGCACGAGATAAGTTTGTGCCCAGATGGAAGGCTGACAGGCAGGTAGGCCATCCAGTTATTTTAGCCGGGCCGGCTAAAATGATTGGTCGTACTTTTTACAGTACTACGGCTTCCACAGATGACATTTTTTTATGGATTTTTTGTCAAAGCATTTAAGATATTCATTGCTATCGGGATGTTAAGAGCATTCCATGGAATATAACAAAAAGTGTATCTCGAGCCGGTTTCTCAAACTTACCTACCCTACCTTTAAGTTATGGATGTGGTATTGAAATAGTCTGTCCAGCCCTACAACGAACATTGTGCAGGAATATGCAGCTTTAATATAATGTGTGCTGTCATTAAAATGCATATTTTTACAGATGTTTGACATATATGTCGCAACGGCTGACTACAACCCCACCATATCAAACAAAGAAGCCATCTCTCTGAAGGAGGGACAGTATGTTGAGGTTTTGGACTCAGCTCATCCTCTCAAGTGGTTAGTCCGGACCAAACCCACCAAAACTACACCATCGCGCCAAGGCTGGGTCTCACCTGCCTACCTGGACAAGAAACTCAAAGTAGGTTTAAAAAAAATATATGAATTCATTGTCTTGGAAACTCTGAACATTTGTAAAGTTATAAATGTGTGTTCCCACAGCTATCTGCTGATCCGAGTGACCTTCCAGAGAATAATGACGAGGAGGTGACTGAGGGTGAATACAAGAGGAAATTATTGTAAGTAAAGCAAGTCTAAACTCACTTATCGAACAGTACATGTATATGATGTATTATAACAATCTAATATTTCATGTCCCTAGCCAACTGATCCAAGACCTGATAAACAGTGAATCACAGTTTGTGAAAGAGGTCGACTTCTTCACCTCCCATCACGTGAAGCATGCAGACAGCCCTGATGCACCGCCTGATGTCAGCAGCCAGAAGGAAGCCATATTCAGGAACATTGATGATATCCAGTCTTTCCACAGCAGGTGAGCTCAACGCTTAATGACTTGTCATTTTAGTCCGATATCTTTTAGGAAGAAAGTAAAGAAAATCTCCTGTCTAAAATGTTTAATGCATTCCCGAATATTTTGCTTTTAGGGCATTCCTCCCAAAGTTAAATGACTGTGAAACAGATGATGACGTAGCCATGTGCTTCCTGAAGAACAAGGAGGGCTTTGAGAAGTATCTCCAATATCTTGTTGGTCAGAGTAAGGCTGAGTCGGCTATCAGTGACAAGGCCGTTCACCGCTTCTTCAAGGTAACACTAGTTTCTTTCTTTTTAAGTTTTGGAAAAGTATTCCTAGATACATTTAAAAAATCTTCCTTTCATGACATTATAGGAGTACACAGACAAAGTGCAAGCCAGTGCAGACCCTGCTGACCCCCCTGTACGCAGCATCAACGCCAGCCTCCAGCACCCACTGGACAGGGTACAGAAGTACAAGGCGGTCCTCAAGGTGACAGCTTTGACACACGATATGCATGAGAGTTAGGAATACATCCCATGCAAGTGTAGATCATTTGGTTTTAGACCTGTGTTACTGTCACTGCAGTTTTATTGAAATCTCTCCATCAACATCTCCAGGAGCTCATCAGAAACAAGGCAAAGAATGGCCAGAACTGCTGCCTCCTGGAAGAAGCGTATGCCATGGTGTCTGCACTCCCTCAGCGCTCTGAGAATACCCATCATGTCGGCATGATCGAGAACTATCCTGCCACACTGGAAGTATTAGGAGAGCCGATAAGACAGGTAGGCAGAGTTGCTGTGGCTTCCCTGAGTAAAGTGATCTTGGGCAGGATTAAGTTTGTCTGATTGTTTTTGTTTTAAATGTTTTCCCCTTTTAAACCCAGGGACCCTTCCAAGTGTGGGAAGGCGCTCCTGGAATAAGGACGTCCTCTAGAGGTCATCACCGCCACGTCTTCCTGTTTAAGAACTACTGCATAATCTGCAAACCCAAGAGAGACAGCAACACAAATACACAAGCATATGTCTTTAAGAACATGATGAAGGTGACACTTTTAATTTAATCACTCCGCTTCTCCTATTTTAGACTTCATTCCGAATTGTTAACTTACTGATCACCTGCCTCAATAATGTTTTCTGTCTTATTCGTCTTGTTTCAGTTGAATAACATTGATGTGAATGAGATAGTGGAGGGTGATGACCGTGCCTTTGAGATCTGGCATGAGCGCGAGGACTCTGTGAGGAAATACACCCTGCAGGCCCGAACTGTTAACATCAAGAACTCATGGCTGAGAGACTTCAGAGAACTGCAGCAGCGATACAGCACGCCTGCATGGAGTAAGTGCAACACACAGTCCAAGGATACATTCACACTCATAACAAACATCCTTTGTGCACACAAGTGTTTTAGCTCACACACCTGAAAACGTACATCACAAAATCATTCATGTACAATAGGCGTACGTAAACATGAAGCAGATGGTCTCCTTACCAAATGGTTGTTTAGTTGTAGACTGTGCTGTGAGAAATAGCAGTGGTGAAAATTAAGACCAAAGATGTCTTTGTTTGGACCAGTGATGAGGTGGAACTGTTACCAAATATAACAAATGAGAATGTGTTTCTTTCGGGACAAGGATCCTGTGATAGGGACAGAACAAATCAAGAAGGTCTCATGGGTGTTGTCTTTGTTGTTTTCTGTTCACGCCTGTCCAAACTAAAATACAATGCCAGAGTTGTCAAACTAAAACAGGGTCACCAGCATTTTTAACAAGTCTCTGATTAAGGGGTTTGAAAACCCTGGAGTAAAGTTGATGCTAGACGTAATGTAGCTAAATGTGCGTGTTTTTAAAAGAAAAAGATACTAGTGTGTGTGGGGGAAACTTCTGTGTAGCAATGCATTGGGAGTCACCGACTCAGGAAGGAGACACGGTGAGAGTTGGAGCTTTTGATGTCAAACACTGATGGGTTTATTCAGAGTATCGGCCGGAGGATTCACATCACAAGTCAAAGAGTCAGAGGTTCTGACTTCACGGTAGAGTTGCCACGTCAATTCTGAAGAGCCTCTCTCTATGTTAGACCTTTTAACTGGTTCACAGAGAGTAATCAACATCTCTGAAGGAGTAGACTAAACAGCTGGGAACACTGAGCCACCTGCGTCCGACACTCATGGCCTCAAAGATTTCACATCTTAGAGTCCACAAACACCAATAAAGAAGTGCCTCAGCGTTCTCACAACAATTACCATTCGTGCCAGACAAGTTGACCGGTCACAAACTGGTAACAACAACACATATGGCACCAATGCCTTTCCTTAAAGGAGATAACAGACGTCAGAGTAGATCATAAAACGTCACAGAGCAAAAGGTTAGATATCTAGAAGAATTATTCCTTAACAGTGTGGATGCAGCCGCACTCTCTCATCACGCAGAATATATTTTAGCATTCTCCCACTTTCTAACACTGACTTTCTTTATTAATCTCCTTTTACAGGTCGTCCTGACTTTGATGAAATCCTGGCTAACTGCACAGCAGAGCTCGGTCAGACTGTAAAGCTGGCCTGCAAAGTCACTGGAGTCCCCAAACCTACGGTCACGTGGTACAAGGGTACGCCATTTTTAATCAGTCATTTGCTCAAATGGAGAGTAATGCTACTTTGCATTGAGTGACAGACTAATTACTGTATACAAACATTATCTGAAGCCAAAAGTGTTTCATGGTTTACTTGTTGGATGCAGATGGGCGTGCTGTGGAGGCAGACCCTCACCACATCATCATCGAGGACCCTGACGGTTCCTGCACGCTGATCTTGGACAACATGAGCGCAGATGATTCTGGACAGTACATGTGCTTTGCCACAAGCTCAGCAGGCAATGCCAGCACTCTCGGCAAGGTCACTGTCCAGGGTAAGGGATTTAACACAGAAAATAACAGTCACACGGTGCTTCACCAAAATTGAAGTGAAGCTTATTTATATTTAGTAGATAATGTTATTTAAACGTGTATTATATTTGGATATATTTCTTGCAGTGCCTCCTCGCTTTGTGAATAAAATGCGGAATGCTACATTTGTTGCTGGTGAGGACACTCAGTTCACCTGTGTCATACAGAGCGCCCCTAACCCCAAGATCAGGTTTGAAATCTTCAGAATATTCAAAGTAAATTCAAAAGATCCCATGTAACATCTGTTGCCTTGTGTGTGTTAACCTTTATTTCTCCTCTCTACCTGTGTTATCCGTGAAGGTGGTTCAAGGACAGCAGGCTGCTGACTGACCAGCAGAAGTATCAGACCTACAGCGAGCTCCGCAGTGGGGTTCTGGTTTTGGTAATCAAAAACCTGACAGAGAGAGACCTGGGACACTACGAGTGCGAGGTGGGTTGGCATAAAAATAGCAAACTTGCAAGAAAACAATGTGATATTCAAAGTGATAGATATAGGGAAAGTATAAACATTGCCTCTGCGCAAACATTCTGTTGACTCTTAGTCAGTTGATAGACAACCAACAGGCATTTAAGACTAACAATATCTTTTGTGCTTTTGCCAGTTGTCCAACCGTCTGGGCAATGCTAAGTGTGCTGCTGATTTGGCTCCTCCCTCTGCTGTGGCCCGCTCTGCTGAACAGGCCATCACTATTGAAGGTAAGGACACTGCCTACATCCTCACAGCCGGAGCACCTCTGTAGACTATAATGCTAATGCTAAACATGGTTTTCATGCGGGTTTAAAGACATAATCAGTTGATGTAACTTATACTTTAAGAGTATTGTACCTATGTTGTTAAACTAATCTATTCTGTTTCCTCCCATAGTCACTGAGCAGGAGACGAGAATACCAAGGAAAACCATCATCATGTGAGTGTGAACCGCATACCAAATTATTTTGTGCCTGACACATGTGTCTTGCCTAGATCTGACCAGGTGTGCTTTACATGTCCTTTTAAATATAAAACCAAATCAAACCTAGACTATAAAAGGTTTCATAACTAACTGTGGGATAATTTGTCACCATCAAGAATGTTCAGGGATAATTGTTTCAGGACAGATTATCCTCTGCAGTTGCTCTGTTAGTGATACAGATGCACTGAATGTTTTATTCTTGGCCTTGCTGTTTAGATATGACTTGCTAAGAGATAGAATGCTTTTAGAGCTCTGCTGTATGTCTATCTGCTTCTGTAAGTGGCCCCATGCGTGCATTGTGGTGTAGTATTTAAAGCCTGAGTGCAAGGGATTCTCTCACAATGATGATAGAAAGGATGGGCTGTCTTCACCAGGGTGCTGTCTCCTTAACCCGGCAACTGTATCGCTGATACTTATGGGAAGTGCTTACTATCTAGTTATTGGAGACAGCCTATCCTAGTTAGATTCATATCTCATGTTCACTCTTAACTGGTTTCTTCTGTCTCTTCTACAAATTATTTTAAAGTCCTTCTTGTAGTCGTGTATACAAAGCTCTCGCAATATTTATCTTGGCTTGGCTTGCAACACTGAGCATTTGTGTTTAATGTTTATACTCCTTTTTTAAATGTGTATGAGAGGTCCATGTGAGCCATCCACCTCTTTTTGCGCTCTAAAATGTTTTCTTTTCTCTTCTCCAGTGAGGAGACCATAACCACTGTGGTGAAGAACCCACGTATGAGGCGACACAAGTCCCCCGGCTTGACTCTTGCTGGAGCCCACCGCTCCGAGACCTCCACCCCAGAGCCCCCTACAGCCAGGCCGAGGAGGATGTCCACTCAGAGAAAGACCACCATCCCCACCCTCTATGTTACTCAACCCGAAGGCGCTGAAGCCAGAGCCATGGAGAGCAGGTGGGTGGAGGTCGAGGAGGTCATCGAGTATAAAGTCAATAAATCTCCCAGGGTGTCGAGGAGGAGAGGCATCTCCCCGGCAACGTCTGAACGCTCATCGACTCCTTTAAGAGCCAAGAGGTCTCCACCTGAGAGAAACCCCAACGTCAACAACTCCAACAACAAGCTGCTGGAGCAGGCTCAGCTGCAGGGAGACGTCAGCAGCTCCCCGCTCTCCTGGGAGGAAGAGGATGGGAGCGTTTCCCCGGATGCTGTCTCTGGAGACCCCCATGAGCTCTCCTCCATCCTCACTCAAGCAGGAGAGGACAGCGAGGACATGGACGATGATCAAACTGTCATCTTTGAGCCCGATGATGAAGATGATAACTCTCTCGGTAAGCAAGAGCCTAAGATCCTGACACAAGGAGGCCGTGTTCTGACTCTGGAAGACTTGGAGGATTACGTGCCAGAAGAAGGTGAAAACTACGGCTCTACCAGCACCCCCGCTGCTGAGAAGCCCTGCGAGATCTCGGTGCTGCAGAGGGAGATCGGCGGCTCCGCGGTGGGACAGCCGGTGCTCCTCAACGTGGGCCGGCCGGGCGTGGGGCCGAGGCAGAGGAGCGGCTTCTTCGGCCGCTTCAGGGAGCATCTCTCCAGCAGCCTCTTCACGCCTGCGGCCCCCCCAGCCAGCGGAGCTCGGGCCAGGACGGAAAGACACGTCCCCATCCAAGTGAGCCACGCTAAGCTGGAGGTGAAGCCTTCGTACTGCTCCGAGGTGCAGCGGGTCGAGGGCGGGCAGCAGAGCTTTAAAACCAAAGTGTCAACTCAGACCTACGGCTACACTTCAGTGGGCAACCCTGTCACTCTGCAAATAAGTGATAACCTTTATCAGAACCAGTAGAAGCAAACCGTTTTAATTTGGTACCACACACCCTCTTAGTCTTAAATGGGGACATTTCTACGTACATGGTGAATAAGACATATCCTAAAGAATATTAGCTGCATATAACAAACCATTCCATTTGGAAGTTGCCTAGAAAGAAAGAAGACTCATCTTCTTGAGTCTTTTTCTCGACAAATGGCTAGAGTCAGATGGTCTCTTTAGACTAGGCGAATAAGACAATGTCACTGTAAGCATGTTTCAACCCAAACTGCTTTGTTACACCTGCATATTCACTCATGCAGTATGTGTTGTATAACATGGTGGGGAGACAGAAAAGGAAATTAAGGTTTGACTGAAGAGAAATGTAATCATCTTTTGCTGAGTTACATTTTATTTTACAAAAATACATAATGTTCACTCGAACCCAGCTTCGAGTATGGGCGGAATATGAGAAAATGGGCACCACCACCTGTCCTAAATACGAGCAAGACACTCTATTTAGCCTCTTATTTTAAGGGTAAATAAAAAGCCTCTAGTTGTATCTCTTTGTAGTTGTTTTGTGTATTTACGTGGTCATGTAGTGTCTCTTTTTGTTGTCTTTGTATGATTTTATGTCTTTTTGTAGTTAGTTTCAATCTACTTTGTAATTGTTTTGGTCTTTTTGTTATATCTTTATTTTGTTGTTTTGACACTTATTGAGGTTGCTTTGAGTCTCTTGGTGGTCATTTTGTCTCTATGTTGTTGTCTTGCCCTTTTACAAAATGGTGTTAGTCTGTTCTCTCTTTGTAGTGGTTTTACTTCTCTTGGTGGTAGGCCTGTACTATACATCCATGCCTTCATGAAATCATGATCCTTGACCCACCAATATTTACTGATCCAGACATTATCCCTTGTGATGACTCCTGCTATATACACAAACAAATACATTATATTAAGGTATATAGATTTGATTTCAGTTTGACTTTTGTACCTTTCGAAAATGTTGCCTTTTGCACTCACACAGTGCCTTAGATTCCTGGAGTTAACGTCTACTAGTGAGGTCAGTCTCTCGTTGAGTATTGCTATAAGTATATTTAAATGTGCAACACTGATGATCTGCTATTTACAACCGAACTGTGTTGACCGTTTTGGTCCATGGACTGTTTAAGTTTAATCAAATGTGCTGTCAAGTGAGTCAGTGTGGCAAAGTCACACATACGCTCTACTTTGGTTGTTTGTGCCTTAATTGTTGGTGAGCAGCTTCTTCAAATATGGCATTTATACATGAACATCTATTTGATGGTGAACCTGTTTCACATCCGATCTCTGTGTTTGACTACACTCATGTCATTTACTATAGCGAGACATGTTTCTATCAATAAGTGAATGTTGATTTTTGTGTGCCTCTTAATGCAGTGCCATTACCTGTCATTTTACAGATATAACAGGGACATTCATATGTGGGTGACAGATATTTAGATGAGTGACTGCATGTATTTGCCTTTGCAAAGCACACGTGTTTATCTAGAGTAACAAAAGCTGTAATGATGTATTTGATTGAGAGAAAATGTTTATGCAAAGTACTTGAGCTCACATAATTTACTACCTTGCCAATTTAAAAAATGACTAGAAAACAGGAACTTAAAGATGTGTGGTGTTTGCGTTGTTTCTTAAAGGTATTCTAGAAAGTTACAAGTATAATATTATGTATTAATATTAATGAACTAACAGATTGTAATGCTTGTACTGTACATGTGTAGTTTTTTGAAAAATGTTTGAATATTCAGTGTTAATAAATATATGTATTGCAAATAATAGCCATGGCCAGTTTCTTTCACAATTAATAGCACACAACATTTAAGTTTCAACGGACAACGGAGCTAAAAACGTAAGTATACGTAAAATGAATACTGAAGTAATTTGGATTATTGGAATCTTTGAAAAAAACATACCAAACTACAGATAGTTCATCAGGTTGTCCCCAGGTTCTCTAAATAGTAGAAGTTGATAAATACCATACTATTACTTTTTTCCTATTTATCGACATACCATACTACAACTGGTGTTATGTTTATGGTGTCATTTTAAACTTTAAAATTACATCATGAACATAACACCAGTTATGTAGTATGGTAGTATGGTAATGGTATGGTATAGTACTTGACTTTAACATTTAAAGTCAAGTACCTGCCTTTAGAACAATGGGTTTACCTGTTACAGTGATAGACAGTGAAGTGAATGGCAGCCACTGCTGGCTGCTTTGTGTCCAAAAACAAATGTGGACAGCAGTCGCTTTAACATGTTTTCTCCTATAGCTGTTTTTAACTTCACACAAGATAAATATTATTACTACATCATTCAGTGATATCATAGTGTTTTTGGTTAGCTAACTAAAAATGCAACACTTTAAATCTATTTTTGTTGTATTTCAAAAAGTTGGATTTTTGATTTGAATGAGGTCATGAACCTTTCTTGGCCTGGAAATTAAGAAGCCAAGTGTTTTTGTTTAGATGACCAAAATGTGTCGTGAGACAAAAATCCTTATATTTACATAAAATCTTGAAAACATAAAATCATAAAACATAAACATAAAATCTTGAAAAGTTGGGTCTACTTTAGTTCAGTTCAATGCTTTTACCCTGATTTAAAACAAAGCACTTAATGTACACATGCTGAAATGCAATTCAAAATGTATGTTTAACAACAACCGACAGATAAACCTAACATGCTTTTAGCAGTTTTATTAAAGCTTAAGGTGTTGCTGTGGCCTTACAGACCCAGCGCAAACACTCGGAGCAGGGTTTTAGAAGAAGCCCTTGAACCAGGTCTTCTCCTTCTTCTTCTTGGAGTTCAGACTCTGAAGGTCCGTCAGGTCCCAGGAGGATTCTGCTTTCTGCCACTCTTGCTCTTTCGCCTGCTGATGGTTTTTCAGCCAGTCTGTGGTTTGAAGCAGGGTGGATCTCTCCTCTTGCCACACTTGCTCCCTCTCCTGCAGATTCCTTTCAAGCCTCAGTGAGGCCTGAAGGAGGGTCGACTTACAGCTCTTCCACTTCTGCTCTTTCTTTTGCAGGTTGTGCGACACGTTTGTTGAGTCCTGAGGGAGGGTTGGTCTATTCCCTTGCCACTTGAACCACTTCTTTTTCTTCTCCTTCTTTTGGAGGGTTTGGCATTCAATCTGAGACTTTAAGTAGCTCTCTGTTTTCTGCCACTCCTCCTTCTCCATCTGCTGATTATATTTCAGCCTTTCTTTGTCCCGCAGGACGGTCAACCTGTCCTCCTCCAAGTGGATGCAATTACGCTCCATCTTCTGCACAGCCTCGTTCAGATTGTCCACAAGCTTTTTATTTGCCTGTTGCTGCTCCTCGAGCTGAGTCTCGTAGGAAGTCTTTGTTTTCCCAACCTCCTCCATCAGCTGTTCAAGGAGACGATCCCCTTCAAGCTGTGCTTCTGCTTTTTCCTGAAGCAAAGACACAAAGGTCTTTTTTTCCGATGCATGCATCTCTAGCTGGGCAAGATGGATGACATGGGATACCTCCAGCTTTGCAGTGAGAAAAATGTTCTCCTCCTGCCACTGGAGAGTCCTGATCTTCAGCTCCTGCTGAGCCTCATTTAGAGCGCCCATGAGCTTACTAGTTTGTGCTTCCAGTTGAGCGAGACAGGTCGTTTTAGATTTCGCTGTCTCCTCCTGGAGGTCAGTGATCTCTCGCTGGAATCGGAGGTGCTCAGTCTGCAGGAGATCTTCCGCCTTTTTCAGGGCTGTTGTGATCTTCCTGGTCTCCGCTCTCTCAAATTCGAGATTGCTCTCAAACTCCAACTCCAGGTTGGTTTTTGACAAATCCAGCATAAGTTTTACATCATGGAGCTTACTTTTCAAGGCCTCATTTTCTGCCTTAATGCGCTCCAATGTGAGTTGCTTGTCTTTGTTTAGGGAGGTTTGATTCTTGAGATCCTGGAGGTCAGCGATCTTTCGCTTGAATTGAAGGCGCTCAGTCGCCAGGAGATCTTGCGCCTTTTTCAGGGCTGTTGTGATCTTCCCGGTCTCCGTTCTCTCCAATTTGAGATAGCTCTCCAACTCCAGGTTGGTATTTGACACAACCAACATTGGTCTTAAAACACAGAGCTCACTTTGAAGGGCCTCATTTTCTGCCTTCATGTGCTCCAATGTGAGTTGCTTGTCTTTGTTAAGGGAGGTTTGATGCTTGAGATCCTGGAGGTCAGTGATCTCTTGCTTGAATTGAAGGCGCTCAGTCGCCAGGAGATCTTCCGCCTTTTTCAGGGCTGTTGTGATCTTCCTGGTCTTCGCTCTCTCCAATTCGAGATTGCTCTCAAACTCCAACTCCAGGTTGGTTTTTGACAAAGCCAGCATAGGTTTTACAGCATGGAGCTTACTTTTCAAGGCCTCATTTTCTGCCTTCATGTGCTCCAATGTGAGTTGCTTGTCTTTGTTAAGGGAGTTTTGATGCTTGAGATCCTGGAGGTCAGTGATCTTTCGCTTGAATTGAAGGCGCTCAGTCGCCAGGAGATCTTGCGCCTTTTTCAGGGCGGTTATGATCTTCCTGGTCTCGCCTCTCTCCAATTCGAGATAGCTCTCCAACTCCACGTTCGTTTTTGCCACACCCAGCATTGGTCTTAAAACACAGAGCTCACTTTGAAGGGCCTCATTTTCTGCCTTCATGTGCTCCAATGTGAGTTGCTTGTCTTTGTTAAGGGAGGTTTGATGCTTGAGATCCTGGAGGTCAGTGATCTCTTGCTTGAATTGAAGGCGCTCAGTCGCCAGGAGATCTTGCGCCTTTTTCAGGGCTGTTGTGATCTTCCTGGTCTCGCCTCTCTCCAATTCGAGATAGCTCTCCAACTCCAACTCCACGTTCGTTTTTGCCACACCCAGCATTGGTCTTAAAACACAGAGCTCACTTTGAAGGGCCTGGTTTTCTGCCTTCATGTGCTCCAATGCCATCTGCTGTTCTTTGTTTGTCGAGGTTTGATGCTTGACATCCTGCAGGGTCTTGATCTCTTGCTGGAATCTGAGGCGCTCAGTCGCCAGGAGATCTTCCGCCTTTTTCAGGGTTGTTGTGATCTTCCTGGTCTTCGCTCTTTCCAATTTGAGATTGCTCTCAAACTCCAACTCCAGGTTGGTTTTTGACAAAGCCAGCATAGGTTTTACAGCATGGAGCTTACTTTTCAAGGCCTCATGTTCTGCCTTAATGCGCTCCAATGTGAGTTGCTTGTCTTTGTTAAAGGAGGTTTGATTCTTGAGATCCTGGAGGTCAGCGATCTTTCGCTTGAATTGAAGGCGCTCAGTCGCCAGGAGATCTTGCGCCTTTTTCAGGGCTGTTGTGATCTTCCTGGTCTCGCCTCTCTCCAATTCGAGATGGCTCTCCAACTCCACGTTCGTTTTTTCCACACAGAGCATTGGTCTTAAAACACAGAGCTCACTTTGAAGGGCCTGGTTTTCTGCCTTCATGTGCTCCAATGCCATCTGCTGTTCTTTGTTTGTCGAGGTTTGATGCTTGACATCCTGGAGGGTCTTAATCTCTTGCTGGAATCTGAGGCGCTCAGTCGCCAGGAGATCTTCCGCCTTTTTCAGGGCTGTGGTGATCTTCCTGGTCTCCGCTCTCTCCAACTCCAGGTTGGTATTTGACACAACCAATATTGGTCTTATAGCACAGAGCTCACTTTGAAGGGCCTCATGTTCTGCCTTCATGTGCTCCAATGTGAGTTGCTTGTCTTTGTTAAGGGAGGTTTGATGCTTGAGATCCTGGAGGTCAGTGATCTCTTGCTTGAATTGAAGGCGCTCAGTCACCAGGAGATCTTCCGCCTTTTTCAGGGCTGTTGTGATCTTCCTGGTCTCGCCTCTCTCCAATTTGAGATTGCTCTCAAACTCCAACTCCAGGTTGGTTTTTGACAAAGCCAGCATACGTTTTACATCATGGAGCTTACTTTGAAGGGCCTTGTTTTCTGCCTTAATGCGCTCCAATGCCATCTGCTGTTCTTTGTTTGTCGAGGTTTGATGCTTGACATCCTGGAGGGTCTTGATCTCTTGCTGGAATCTGAGGCGCTCAGTCGCCAGGAGATCTTCCGCCTTTTTCAGGGCTGTTGTGATCTTCCTGGTCTTCGCTCTCTCCAATTCGAGATAGCTCTCCAACTCCAACTCCACGTGCGTTTTTGCCACACCCAGCATTGGTCTTATAGCGCGGAGCTCACTTTGAAGGGCGTCTTTTTCTGCCTTCATGCGCTCCAATGCCATCTGCTGGACTTTGTTTGTTGCGGTCTGCTGCACGAGATCTTCCTGTGCTTTCCTCAACATTGGGCGGACCTTTATCAGCTGGCTTTTGAGATACTTCACCTCACTGACACTTTCAGTGAAATGCGCCTGTAGGCTACATATCTCTTTCTGCATGCCTTCTTGCTTAGGGCTGCATTTGTCATCCTCTCTACGCTCTTGGAGATGATCGAGAAGGTTTGCCAGTAAGTCCTCTTGTATTTCCAGGTGGACTCTGCCCTCAGATTTACTCGGGGTGAGCCTTGCCTTGCTGTCATGCAGTTCAACCCGGATTTGTTCCTCAAGGGAACTCAGGAAGAAATTAATAGGAGGGTCCTCCTCAGTTGAGTTGAAATCAATCAATTCCATATTTGTTTCGTGCTGGAACTGAATGTTTTAACTGCTATGTCTGTTTTTCTGTCTTCTCTTTGAAAGGCTGGTTGTCAAATGTGACCAAAGTGGCTGACGGAATGCACCTCCATGTAGTCTGGGGTTCTGGACTGCTAGAATTTCCAGGTTGTTATGACCACCTGTTCTGCTGATGATTCTGTTCCGCTGATGATTCCATTCCATTGATACATGCACACAGGCACAGATACACGCAAACATGTATATCTTTTTTGCTTTTATCTTGATTTTATGGATTAAACCCTCTTTTTAATCATCATCCAAAATTCAGCAAAATGGTCCATTTGCAGGAACCTGCATTACAGTATAAGAATGTATTATTCTGATTATTTCAGGGATTCTTTTTGTTTTGTGTTTTTATCTATATTCTTCTGTCTTGTCTTGTTTTACTTTCTGTCTTTGTGTTTTCCCACCTTGACACATTGTGATAGTGGTCTGTTCGTACTGCCAGTTAGCAAAAAGTGAGCTTTTTGCACCAACCTGAGACCAAAGAACGCGTCCCGACTTTTACGTCTGCTACGTCGCCTGCGTCGGCTATGCGGCCCGCCTACGCCGCCCGCCTACGAACACACCGCAAAGACTTCAGTCGACGAGTGGCAATAACTGTCCTTACCAGCAGGCAGCGGTAGTGTGTATTCGTCATTCAAAAGATGCAACAACCGGAAGACAGACTATACACCGAGAGAAGAAGAACAGACTGCGTGATATAAACAAACAACAAATAGCGTCTGGGTTCCATTTTCACTCTCTCTCGTCGATCGAAAACATGTAAACATAAAAAAGAAACTCTTGCGTCCGGGTGAGATGAAAATGAAAAAGATTAGCCGTATGTGTGTGCCTTCTTAATCGTTTGTTTTGGTCCCTCACTTTCGCTTCGCTTCTCATGCACTGATTCGCTAAGCTGAACAGCCAATCAGAGTGATTTCTTTGGCCGACTTTCTTTGGCCAACTGTCTACCGATTCAACATGTTGAATCCATGGATGTATAATAAGAACGGTTGAATCGGCCGCGGGAGGTGTGAAAATGTGCCGTAAAGAGACGACGGTGCGGGACACACCAACCTGAGTAGGGCGCCGCGAATGCCCGACTGCCTCTGACGGCCTCTGACTCCCAAAATCGGGTTGGTGTGTCAGGGGCTTTAGGCAAATAAAGCTAAAACAGTTAAACACAAAACCAGGTGGACTAGGCAAGGCAACACAAAACAAAACGGAAAAAAAAACAGAGGGCAAGAGGAACAAGTGCCAACCGGCATTATACGATTGTTTTAAGGATTCACAAGGACCCTATAGAGTGGCGAAGTCCCTCCCCTTCCGGTGGACCTCCATGGGACCTTATTTCGGAAAAATTATGTATTGAAGTCAATGGAGAGAGAAAGATTATCTTTCGATCCCGTTTGAATTGTGCCACGAATTACACATATGATGTTTGTCAATTTAAAAGATAATTTTGCAAGTCAAAAAGACAAAAAATGTGTCGTAAAACTGTGAAGTAACACATATTTTTGTGTGAAACGCTCAATGAACTGCATCTCTGGTATCGCACAACAACACACGTCACCAAGATGGCCGTCACTACTGTTGTGCCAAAAAATGGATAGAGTGACTACTACTCTTACTGTTTAACATTTTGGGTTACTTAATGTTACTTCATGTTAAGGCTAATACAAATGACAAGGCTGTCATACTAACTAACGTGCTAGCTACTAGCTAGCTTGATCCACACACTCCTCTTTCATCAGACGGGAAGCGAAAGAACGAGCAAGACCCATTGCTGGTATAATAACAACCTGGTACTAAGCACACAGGCATCTTGTTAAAGTTATCTTATCTTAGCCAGTGCCATATAGATAGATTCTATCTATATGGCGCTGATCGTATATATACGGTATTATACGTATATCGTAGTGTCTCAATTGTGACATCACTTACGCGACTCTGGGATTTGTAGTCTTTCCAGTTGCGTATTTTTCATAGTCTTATATTTCAACAGTTTTACGACAAACTGTGACTTTTTTGACATGGAAATGATTTTTTAAGATTGACAAACATCATATGTGTAATTCATGGCACAATTCAAACGGGATCGAAAGATACGTTTTCTCTCCCCATTGACTTCAATACATAATTTTTCCGAAATAAGGTCCCATTACCCGGAAGTAAGTGGGCGTGACTTCGCCACTCTATGTCATGCAAAGCTGCCAGCCTGCCTGCCTTCCTTTGATTCTCTCTGAACTGCCTGATCTTTTTAATGTTTAATGTCAACCATTTGTGCAGATAGCATGAAGTAGAAAAAATCGCCGATGCTAATGTAGCGTTAGCGTTAGCATTTCTCCCCCGGGCTTAAATGGTGTATTATAGAATGATCACACCAGTGTGACAGTACTCTTCAAAGGGTTCACGAAATATGACTACTACTCTTACTGTTTAACATTTTGGGTTACTTAATGTTACTTCATGTTAAGGCTAATAAAAATGACAAGGCTAAGGCTGTAATGCTAACTAACGTGCTTGCTACTAGCTAGGTAGCTAACTTGATCCAGCCACTCCTGGTCCTTTCATCAGACGGGAAGCGAAATAACGAGCAAGACCCATTGCTGGTATGATAACAACCTGGTACTAAGCACACAGGCATGTTGTTAAAGTTATCTTATCTTAGCTATCTCTTATTTAGTGGAGGAAAACAATTGTGACATCAGTTATGACATCACTTACGCGACTCTGGGATTTGTAGTCTTTCTAGTTGCGTATTTTTCATAGTCGGAAGTAGATGGGCGTGACTTCGCCACTCAGTGTAACACTGATACACAATACCCATTATCATCATGATGAAATTATGGTTAAAAAGGACACACACAAAATATGAAATGAAGCCAAAAAATAAGCTAGAGAAACTTTTTTTTACCCAGAAAGGAATATTAAAGTAACTGGAAATCATGTCACTCTTGTCTCAGACCCTGTTTTACTAAGTTATGTCAAACACTTCATGTAGCTTTTATTATTACACATATAAACTTTCTTTTTCTCTGAGACCATACATTAAAAAACATTATTCTCAAAAGAGCAATTCAAATTGCTTGTTCTCCGTCACACTAGAAAGAAATTTCCCTGTAAGGGATTAATAAAGTGTTTCTTCTTCTAATAACTATATAAATTACCCATTGGCCAAATACTATTGTTTGGTTCATACTCTTCACTTATTTAAATTGGTTACAATTGTATTGAATTTCAATTCCAAACTAACATTCGACATACTATGACTTTTTTCCGACATACTATATGACTTTTTTCATATTTATCAACACTATACATTTACTTTTTTTCTATTGCATGTTTGACATATTGTGTAACTTTTTCCATTCTAAGATGTTTTTCATGATATATTCAACATATCTAAGCGTTATCGGTATTTGTTAGGTGTGCTTATTCTTACCACACATTCGCTTTTTACAAACACTCATTTATATGTACAGAAAACAGATTGTTTATATATCTGGTCCATATCATCCACACACAGGTTCATGACATGTTATTTGTTGAGATTGAGCTCCTACGCGACTTAATTCCCCTGAAACTCACCAAAGTTTCCTATATTACCTTTCAGCAAAGTTCAACGTTTATTGTTCAAAATCTTGACCTCCCATTACTTGAATTGCATCATGACACACACAAAATATAATCATAAAAAATCTATATGTATCGTATCCTTATAACAAGTACTGTATGTGTGTTTTAGGCAACAAGATTGTGTTTCCAGCTCTCGGTGTTATACTGATATCAATCTTTGTTACACACCTTGCCATGGTCTTAAAAAGGTTTTACAGGATAACAGCAAAAACCCTACTTATATGTTTTACAGTAAAGGAGATTGGCGTGCTTTATGAGTAATATTGAACAAAGTAAACCATGACATTTATTTTTTCCTTTAACAAGTACAACCTGTCATTTTACTGTACCAGTGACACTGCAAAATGATAGTTACACAATATAAAAGTTTACAAATATACAATTGTAAAAATAAACAGTAAAATTGTTTTTGTAGAGCCCCCCCCCGAACAAAACAAGGCAAGGTGACATTAGATGTGTTACTTTGTTATAAACACTTGTTACCTTTATTATGAGATGTATTATACTAGAGCCCTACATGATCTATGTTAAATGGAGATTTGTGACAGTTTACCCAAATCTTTTACAAAAAAGTTCAAAGCACTGGACTAGTTTTATTATTTCAACAGTAAAGTTAACTTGAAAGTAAACAGCCACCATGTCTTTCTCTCCCTCTCTTCATATATCAGTTGTAATGCTGAGGTTTCAGATGAATTTCCTTCTTTAACTACATGTGCAGATATCTGCATCTGTAAATCTATTTTCCAATCAACACAATATGACCGCTTACACAAAAGACATACCATCACGTACTACCACTTATCAAGATCCACCAAGACTTTTCCACACCCTTGAAAGACCAGTTTATCCTCACGGTTAAGCGAGTTATGCATCTCCTTGTTCGTGTGAGTCCATGTTGGTGTTGGCAAAGCTGCGAGCAGTAGAAACAAAGGCTAACCGAGCATCCAGCATACCATGCCAGTATCATACGAAGTAAACATTATTGGAGTAAATTTGTTCATAAAATAAAAATATGGAAAGGTTTGAATGTCAGTAAATAAACTGATGTTTCTTAGTACATTATAATTTGGTAATAACTACCTATAAACACAATATTTAAGCCTTTCTGTATCCGCTAAGCGATGTGTTTGCCTTAGCTTAGCAAACCATCGGAGGGAATGTTCACAACGGGAATGGAGGTCTGTGGTTTTGACAGGAGTGGCTGGACGGGACAGAAAAGGTGTCGGGAAGCTGCTCCTACGAAGACAAGCTGGCTTTCTTGACCATATTGATTTCCTAGAGAAAGACAAAACGTTTTTTTATTATACTCCCAATACAAGTTGATGATGCGAGTCAAACAAATCTTCGACAAGGAGTAATAAAAGCCCTGGACACATATTCTGCATCACTGCTCACCAGGGGGAATTTGCATCCGTGCAACTCAACAGAATAGCTCACAGTAGGTTATTTATCCATATTTATTATTGATCGCTCAACAGCCACCGTTATAAGGTGTTTTTTTTCATTTTGCCAATGAGCTCACAGTAAATAGAACTCCCAGATATATAGAGTAGGCAGTAGTTAAGATTTATTTTGGAGAGGCTGAGGTTTTCTTCTTTACAAAGTCAGATTCAACACATTCTCGCACATAAAAACCTTCTCATTCAGTGTCCAAATTTCAGGGAGTATTAAAATGCCTCTTTTTTATAACTCAAAGCCGTAAAACTGTTTTGATGAGTTGATTATTGAATTGACGTCAGAGTTCTGCAATGGTTACTCACCTCACTGAGAGCTTCTTTTAACTGCCCATAGGCTTCGTCCAAATGATCATTGATAATAAGAACATCAAATATATCTGGTTCTTTACCTGAAAGGAGATAATATTATGTTCAGTCATGTTGTTTTAAACATTGGTGTAGTTATGTTTTTGTAAATAAATAATAAATACATACCAAACTCCATGTCCACTTGAGCAGCATGCAAGCGCTTTTGGAGGCTCTCCTCTGTTTCTGTCTTTCGGTCTCTTAAACGTTTTTCCTGAAACAATACAGAAGGCATTCAGATATGATTCAAAGAGCATTTAAAACCTGTATGAGCAGTTATCTGTGGTTCAAAGCAAACTCAAGGTCACACCCAGGAACTCCTTTCTGGCAGGCCACCAGGAACTTCTCAAATAAAATAAACGTCCTTCTGTGCTTACCAGGACTGCCATGGACGGCGGCTGGATGGAGACGTAGATGGGATTAAGGTCTGTCTTCTTGATGTTCCTCACACCCTGCATGTCGATGTCGAGTATACAGATGAGGTTTTTGGCCTGGACGGCTTGTACGGCAGCTTTACTCGTCCCGTACATGTTCCCCGAAAACACTGCGTTCTCAAGGAATTCGCCGTTGTCAATGGCTTTCTGCATCGCCTCTCGTGTGACATAATGGTAATCTGAAACCCAGGAAAGGAGACATCCACAATATAATAGATTGAGTTACACTTTAACTGACACAATAAAGGTGATTTACTGTTATAGTGGTTGTAAAAAAGGAGGAACATGTTTTACCTTTGCCATTCACCTCTCCGGGTCGAGGATTTCTAGTTGTATCTGAAGGATAAGAAGACATTCATGTCATACTCTGTACTTTATTTCAATTTTTCTACTTTTTAAAAAAATGTTATCCTTGGTCCATGCATAAAATGCAAAAATATTCGGTTTTCTATCACTCTAAAGAAAGAAAAGCTAATCATCTTATTTGGGAACCTGGAAACAGGGAATGTTTGGCATGAAAAAGGACTTTAATGGTATCATAGAAAATTTTTCTGTGCATCGACTAATCAAATAAGTGACTTTATGTTGCAGTTAATGTAAAACAAAACGAATGCCAAAAATGTGCTGGGTCCATCTTCTAAATATTTAACGATTATCTGTTGTATGCACCACACATCTTTATTCAAACAAAGATGGGAAATTGTTGAGCATTTTCTTTTTGGGCTTTTATATATTTTTTTTTATTGAACTAATGAATCAGGAACATAATCAGCAGATCATTTGATGAATAAAATAATAAGTTAGTGCAATTTGAATTTAAAAATAAAATGTGTTTTGAGTGGAAATGTTTACACCCATATACATCTCCTGGATCGATGTTATGATCATTGACACAAAAAAAGATTGATAAAAACACCATCAAATCTAAATGTTGGCAGAGAGTGGCACACTTACGGGAGACGCTGAAGCCAAAGACACTGTCGTACTCCTTCATGAGCTTCTTCAGCAGAGTGCTCTTCCCCGCCCCCGAGGGGCCGCTGAACACCACAGGCCTGGGACCAGCCATAGCTGCAGCAGAGAGGAGAGGAGGAGAGGTTAGCGAAGGAAACAAGTGGGTGAAGCTGGAGCCATGACACATCTCCACTAAAATCCTGTGGCATGAGTCATTGTGGGACCAAATGTCTGTGCAAAAATATATTTCTTTAGAAAGATTTCACAAAGTAACCAAGGGGTTTCCAGACAAGCCTCGCTCAGTCCTGTGGGATAAATATGATCAAATGATAAATCAGCGTTTTGTAAAGGTGGACCGAATTAAGAGACCAAAACATCTCCCAAAAGAGCAGAGGCAATTGGCCGGTTGGCAAGCTGTTGGGTTACCATGGTGCAGAAACACTTACTCACTAATTGGAGAGCCCTTCTCTGATTGTGATTGCAGGAGAAAAAAAAAGGCTAAGAAAAACTATTGCATAACAGGGAATGCTGCTATCAACATGAGCTCATATTAAAGTGAACTTCCTTATGCAACAATCCATTCACTGACACAACTATAGGCATACTTGCCCTCGCAAAGACATGTTTAGATATTTAGTTATATTAAAAAGGAGTCCTTACTCCTTTCTGTATTATATAAATAAAAGGTGCAAAGTGTTTTACCTTACCTAATTGTTACATTAAAACTATTACTGACTTGTTAACTCTGTACTATCCTGTGTGTCACTCTTCTTCTGTTGCTATTAGACCTGAATGACTCTTGTCTTTTCTCATATACCGTACTTTACAATTTAGCAAAAAAGCTACTTCAAAATCTTGCAGTATATTCTACACAACTTTTCTTTCAGTGCCGGTACTTCTAAGGTACGCTACTCTAGTTAAGATTAAGGTATGTTCCTGCTTACCTTCCGTCAATGCACACAGAGCTCAAGCAGATGGTTCAAATGAGCAGGAAGGGTGTGTGATGTGTGTGGGCAGATCGAGTACAAGCACAGGAGGGAGGGGACACAGAGAGGGCCAGGCCATGTTTACACACTAGTAGATTTGGTTTTTCATAGAGTTACATTTTAAATGTTGAGTAGATTTGTCCAGAATTATGTGATAGTTATATGACCCGTTTGTGTGTTTTGGTTCTAGTCCAAAGGCTGAGAAGAAACTCTCAATTCTGTTTGTTTTTTATTTTCTACAATTGAAGAAATCAATGCAATAAGAAGAAGTCGCTTGGTTCTCAGTAACGACTATGTGCCAAGCAAATTGTTGCAACAGGAAACACGCTATAGAGTTACTATTGCGCTACTCAAAGGAATACAGTGAGAAGATAATGTCTACCATTGTTATCAGTATCGGTATCAGTTCAAATTCAAAGGTTTATTGTCATATGCACATAAGCTACAGTGTAGAAATGGCAATGAAATTCTTCTGACCTGAGCTACTCCAACAAATATAATAAAATACAAAAATAAAAAATAGTGCAAGAAGTCTATATACATTTAAATAGAACATGATATGTACAAGAACAGAATATTAAATAAAATAATGTACATTAAGACAAAATTAAATACGGCCTATTGCGGTTATAACTATTTATATAAATAAGTAGATTGCACGATATTGGCAATTAGTCCGAATATTACATATTTTGTATGCACCAAATTATAAATAATGCATACTGTGTATATACTGTATATATATATTTTTTTAAACAAAAGTAAGCTGGGCTGGACATTGGCAAGCCTTTTTTTATAGCCATGGATAAAGTACACGGCATTACAAGCCTTCTCGATATGCAAACCAGATGGTTTTCTGTGCAGGTGCAAATGACAAGGGTAACTTTCGATTGCCTCTTGATGGCTTCCCGTAAATAGCAACATGGCTAATTCAAGGTGCAGGAGATCCTTTCATATAAGCTAGTAAAAAAATTGTCCACAAAGCTTCTGACACTTGCAGCTACATATATACCAACACAAAATAATCCAGCGTTTGTACTAAACCATTAACAGCGTGACAGGAAATGAGAGACATGTGGGTTTACTTTAGTCATGTGCACTGAACCCCATGTGATTGATAATTGCATGAAGCAAACTGTAAATCATGTGAAACCTATCAGGTGGTAGACCTTCAGTCTGCAGGTTATTCAGTGTAAGAGCTGAAACTATACGTTTTAATCAACCATTTGTGGTTTTTGGTCCCAAATGTGATAATTGAATGTCTTATATCTGTTTTGTATGATCATATATTGAATATATTTGGTATAAACTGTTGGTTGGACAAAACAAGCTATTTGGATATGCACACTTTCGGACAAACTGTTAATCCATTCATAGAAAAAAAAACGTATAAGACTTTTCATAAAACTAAAAACAGCTCTAGAAAGTACAAAACATTTTCCAAATTGGGATCAATAAAGTTTTGTCTTATCTTATCTTACCCCATACAGTTTATGTCAAAACGCAACTGAGGTGTTTTAGTCCAGTTTACCCAGAAACAGAGGAGATTATGTGGGCACACTCAACCAGTTCTCGTCCCTATTACGTTTTGTGCTGTGATCTCTCAATTTAAACTCATGTTTTAAATATTTGTTTCTATTCAGATATGGTATACACAAAAAGCAAAGTAGCACTTGATATCTTATGTTATCAAAGAGTGTGTGTTAAGTGTCAACAATCTTGCAGATAAAACAGCATCTAAGGCACTTCAACCTGCACTTTGACTCACTGCTATAAAAGCAATCAAATGTAATGCTTTAGATGGAAATGCAGAGTAAAGAGGCAGTAGTGACCGTGACTGTAAAACTCAGTAATTAGGATTTAGGATTTTGATTTCTAAATTATAAGACTTAAACATAAATGAGCGTATGAACATTTGATCTGTGTGCAATAGCATTTTGAAATGGTTTGCACTTTGAGATATAAAAACAATACGGTGTCTATGGGGTTGTTTTTAAAACGTTAATAACTCAATGGCTATTTAAAGGATGATTATACTACAGGTACAATTACATCAGCTTAACTTGTGCCTCCTCAGTAAATACACAACACCCATCTTCTTCCCCTGCAGGAACAATCTGACTCCTCTCACACAGGAGCGGGTGAATGGCAGTAATAGCCACAGTGGTTAATGGACAGATGTATTTCCCCTCCTACCTGAGAATAGCCTGGAAAAATATCTCATATACATCGGGTTTTTATGCAAGTCCGTTTTGGGCTGGTCTCCGGCTTGTTTTCTCCCTCATCTGCTCTGAGTCTTTGCTGTGATAGCCATTAAGGAAATAGTGCTGCCTACGTCATCGACACGAGCAGAAACATCAACGTGTTACGTTCGCGAGCATCGGAAAAAGCGCGACAAAACACAGAAACGTGGTTTGTGTTATTATCCAAAGAGTACAGGCGAAACAAATGCAGCCACTATTAATTATATGTAGCCTATGTAACTCACTGTTACTTGCAGTTTCAACCTAACGGGGAGACATACACGCGCATTGTTATTCATGTTGCTTTGTTTATCTGGCGCAAAGTAACGTTATTTATATAGCATAGCCTAGCTTCAGTAAAACGCTGTTTTATCCAGTTAGTCTTCTTACGCCTTGTCGTTTTTCTTCAGAATATAACGGGCAAATTAAGTAACCGGATCAGTTTCCAGGGTCTGAGTGAACATTATAACCAGGAAACACGTTGTTCCCATCAACACTCTTGACCGCAAAACTACCCGGATGTCTGAACGCTGAAGGCCGCATGTGTGCTAACGTGGCTAAAGTCAGCTGTTGAGCTAACGACACACTTTATCCTTATCATAAGTCTTCAGGGCAGCCGATTAAAATGTTTGGTTCCTCCAGATCTGGAGGGGTCAGAGGAGGCCAGGACCAGTTCAACTGGGATGACGTGAAGGGCGATAAACACAGAGAAAATTATCTCGGTAAGTCTCAAAACTATCTGAGCTAACCAGAGCTAGCATTGCTAATAGCTGTTTGCTGTTAGAGAAAGTATCTTAAAATCACAATTAAATTACACTTCAAAGCGTCAGTACCGCACAAGCATCTTCTCCATACCTTTTGTTTTGGAGTCCCTCATTACACAGTGTACAGCTATTCAGTAGTATTGCCGTTTCCACTCTATAAACTGCAGGTCCAAGTTGTCTTTGCACCCTCTCTCTGAGCACACACGTATCCCACCGCTGGCAACATGTCAGCATGCCAAACAAGAATTACGTAGCGCCCACCACAGCTGGAACACAAAAGGATGATATAGACATTTATTTAATTACAATTTATTTAGCCAATAGAGCCTTTTAAAGGTGACTGAAAATAAACTTTGCCTGAATGTATGTCTTGACCAGGACAGGCAGTAGCTCATTAATGAATGTTACAGACGATACCATTTCAGATCACAGCATGACACAAAGTAAGTCTCAGGTCTTCCTATCCTGGATCATATAGGAGTTAGCTGGGTAAAGCATATTCTACATCCGTATCTACCTACATACACCAAAAGGCTTATTGCTACCACAGATGGTGAAATCACAGATGAACTGGGGAGAAGATGCAACCCAAAGATGTGGTTTTTCAAAAAGTAAAAAGTCCTTCCTCATTTGTTGCATCAAAGATATCAACAATATATGTGTTTGGCTTTGTTTCCAGGCAACTCTTTGATGGCACCAGTAGGACGATGGCAGAAAGGCAAAGATCTGTCATGGTACGCAAAAGACAAAAAAGATGGTGCCCCTTTGTCCAAAGAGGAAGAAATAGCTGCCGTCAAGGCTGCAGAGCATGAGGCACTGATGGCTGCCCTGTAAGTATACAGAACATATACCATTTAATAGATACAATGTGGGTGAACAAAACAAGTTAATGTATTTATTCATATTTTCCACCTAGAGGGCACAAGAATATAAAGAGGCAACCAACTGGCCTGACCAAAGAGGTATGTCGCTTTGTTTGGTAATGCTTTCACTCAAAAGAATAGGAACGTCTTTATAGAATTTCAATAAATACAATTTGATGATGAATTTTCCCAACTCTCTTACCAGGACCTTGCAGATGTCTGCCGGAGGGAAGATGCTGATGGTGAAGAGAGAGATGTGGACCGTGTCTCCGGCTTGGGAAGCTCCAGGTTAGAACTTTGGGATATAAGAAACCATAAAACAAAGCAACCACATAAAACGAATCAGCAAATGTATAAGTACAGTGTCTTAAGAAACATTTTAAAACAACATTTAGTCTCTTTTAAGATGTTTTAACAAGTGTTCTTTTTGACACTAAAGTGTTAGCAAGAGTGACTTTTATCTTAATTTGTGCTATGATTGTAAAAGGTTTGTTAATTAATGATTGTTTCCCTTACAGCGTAGGATCCAAGAAAATGGTGCTGTCCCAAAAGGAAAAGGAGGCAGCTAAAATAGGCCTGTCTGTTTTTACGGTAAGTTATTTCTCACTGACAAATGAAGAGGTTAAAAACGTTAGTGAAATAAAGAGAGACTTTAAAAGTTGAGAGTTCAAACAGAAAGTTTATTTCATTGGATTTACTACTTGATGCAGAGATTAAAGAAATGTTTTTCTTTGCAGCACTGCAAAACAGAAAGTCGTCCAGAATCCTCAGCAACAAAAACGCCTCAGAGTGTTGAAAAAGGAGATGTCGAACTGCGGTAATTATCCATTATATTAGCCACCTGAGAGAACTTCATGAAAACCAATTTATTTCAAAACATCACAAATTCTGACCCTTTTTGATTTGACTCCGTAGGCACGACAGCAAAAAGAAAAAGAAAGAGAAGAAGAGCAAGAAGGACAAAAAGAAAAAGAAGAAGAGGCAAAGAAAAGACTCGTCCTCCTCGGAGTCAGATGACGACAGGAAGAGGTTGGTTCATTTTTCCATACAGATGTTTAATTCTGTCGTCTTAGTGTGGACCTAAAAACAGAAACACTACATAGTATGGCTTGGATAAAACATTTTCTGATTCTTATGTGCTTAGAAGAACATCTCTATCTCCAAACCAAATGTAGTTTACTGAAGGCTTCACAAAGCTTCCATAAATGAGGGACATAGCATTTTTTCTGTTCAATATATTGGCCATTTTACTGTGTCCTGTCTAGCAACCATATTTGCAAACTAATAGACTTACTATGAGCCAAACGATTTTGTCTGCCAGCACTAGAGGGCACTCAGGCACTGTGTTACTCACACCATTTTGAAACATGACCTTTTAGATTTAAGGTGCATTTATGACAAGACATTTAATATATATTGTAAATCAGGTGTGGTGGATTAGTCGGGATTTACCAGATTGACTATAATTGATGTGGTGGTGAGAGAGGAATTGCAATTAAACATTAACGTATGACAGTAGTGCAGACCATTTATGATTAAAGTTAATATAAAACATTTATCCTCACATTAGCTAGTTATATTCACTTACAAGTGTCATTGGTTGTTTTCGGTCACTTTAAAGCTTATCTGGCAGCAACTTTTCCCCAGCCTCACACCATCAAATTCACCACGACCCCATCATTGATTGTCTGTTTCCTTTTACACTTCAGGCACAGAAAGGACCACCATCATCATAATCCATCATACCATAGTCAGAGTGGAGCCAGACCCCATGACAGCCATTCAAGGGGGGGTGCAAAGGCCGAGCGAGAGCCCTCCTACCCCCATCATCGACAACAGCGGCATGACACAGACTCCTCTGATGGGGGGTCTCCTGTCCCCCGTAACCCTGTCAGCCACAAGACAGCCCCTGCTGGTCACACACAAAGCCACAGGCGGCGCCACGACACAGACTCGGACGACTAATGTCCTCCCCCCCCCCCCCAATTCAAAAGACGCATAACGGGGACAGACCGCTCTACAGCAGCTTGAGTGGCCCCGGAGACCTCATTTACCCTGAGCAGCCAAACGGACTGTGGAAGGAGACATGTCCATGTCTGACTCACAGGATTATGTTTTTAACTCCTTCACACAATAAGTTGGTTATCGTTAGACACTGTTTTTTTTTCGTAGTATTTTTGGTTGTGTTTGGCAAGAATATAAGAAAACACAATAATGTTATCAACCCACCAAATATGGAAACATTTTAAGATTGAGAGATTGAGATGATTTGATTTTAGTTTTTGATCTACCTAGTGCAAAACACAGTGTAAGATAACAATACAAAATGTTATTTTAATTCCGATGTCTGGTAGCTTTTACTGTTTTTTACTAGAGACTAAGAACATGATTTGCTGCAAGCAGAAACATATACATATCCCACCTTTTTTTTGAATGCCCAAAGTATTTTCTTGAACACTGTTTGCTGACAGGATGAATACAAGTTCAAAACATAATTTACAGATTGAATTAGCATTCTTTATATGCATTTCTATTTAAATGGCAGTATTTTTTTTTTACAAAGCTTTAACTTTTAAAAGTTGTGGTAATTTGTGTCATGAGCACAGTACATTTGTATCATTAACACCCACTTTACAGAGAAAAATATTTAGATATAAAAAATTGCAGCTGTCTTGCAAAAATAAACCTATGTTTGAAGTCAAGAGTGTGTTTCTTTCAATGTTTTTTCTTGAACATTTTTTCAAGATGCTCCCTGATGTCTTCTGTCTTCCTTGCTCATGTCGTCCATCCCACTGCGCCCCCTGCACCACCCAGCAGCTCGGCCCTTTTCTGTTCCCACCCATGCCCGCACTCCTTAATCCCTCACCGTTCTAGGTTCAGCTCGCTGACTGGTGCAACACCATTGGAATGCTCTCCACTGGTCATAATAGAGTGTAGTGTTTGTGTTTGCCTTGAATTGGTCTGAAAGAGGGTATTCTGCTGGCTGGCACCTGGGGGGTGCACTAAAAAAGAGCAAGGCATTCATAAAGAAGAGTGCAAAAAACCAGGCTGGTCCTTTTATATGGCCGAGTACCGTTAGACGGCCACACACAAACCAAGCTGACGGAGCAGCAGGAGAGGAGGCCACACAAAGCCGCCCTCTGAGGGACCCTGGACTCAGCCCCCCCCTCCCACCACCACCACACTCTCCTGCCATGTTTTATAGGCTTGGCTGCATTAACCATAGCAGCCTAATCAACCTGCAAGAATGCTGTCCTAGATTGCCACCCCTACACAATGTGCTCTCCCCATTACTGCTTTTACCCAAACATTGGGTGGTTTACATCACCTTGGGGCATCACATTTCTCCGAGGGTCAAAGGGTGGCGGCCCCAACAGGTTGCCATGACACCAGATTCTTGGGTTTGTTGTTAAATGTAAGTATTGTTTCCTGAAGTCTGTTTCTCTTCTGGCTAAAAGTAAAGTATGTTCATCCGTTACCCCCCATGCCTACCAATGTCGAAATCATCTGATATATCAGGTTTTGGCCACCGAGGAGATTCAGGTTAAAATTAAAAAAAAAAAACACTTCTGACAATGTGTGTGACGAACATACCAAATTGTTTGTTTTTTGTCAGAAAATAATTAAAAAAATAGACTTAATGTGAATAGTTGTAAATAATACAATTAATATTAGCATAATTTAGCTGCTTGGATTTCAGGTTCCTGGTGCTGTTCATGCATCACTCACCATTACATTTTCAAATTCATTTTGGGTCTTTCAGCACTATATTAATAACTCAATTTGCACTTGTTTATGTAGCAACAGTGACATTTTTTAGTGCAAAATAAAATACTACGAAGTATGGAGAAAAGCTAGTTTTATTGCATAGTGTGAGAATGAAAATCAGATGCAGAAACACTTTTTAATCAGTCACTTTAATTACAGTGCTTTTTCCTCACAAAACAAAATCTTTACATAAAAAAACAGACAAACTTAAAGAGATTAAGATAGTTTCCAAATATTTAGGCAGTTATAAATCAAAAGAAAGTTTGATGAACCCTCAAGACATGACTAGATCAGCAAAGTAACCCACACCTTTTTAGAAAAGAAACTTGAAAATAAAAGGCAACATGTATCTTGGATAAGAAGGCATATGTATGGCTTCATGTTTGTTCCAAGCACAGCGTGCTGCAGAGAAAGGAAATACTGGCACTTCGTAAAACATGTAGCTGACACTGATTTTTTTTATTGCCATCAAAATGCAATTTCATAGATTTGATTAGTCTGAATAAAAAAAAGACATGACTTACTAGAGCCTTTAGTGAAGACAGTAGGGCCATTGTAGTGTGCAACTCCTTATGTTACAATTACCTAACACAGTCACACGAGTTACAGCATAGGGCTGATGAAATAAGTACTCATTAATAGTTCCCGTGCAGCCTTAAGATGTAAACACCCAGTAAATATGCATGTCCCGAGCGACCACATCATGCAGATTTGCTAACAAGTATATTGCAAAGGCAGCACATGATAAACCTGAGACTCAGAAATACAAAAACCCAATGCTGACTCAACGGACTTTCAAACAACCATGGAGCAGGTAGATGTGATATTGTTGTAGCATTCCTCAATTCAAGCCAACATACTGTATAACAAAGGCTGGTAAGTGTTCACAGACAGGAGTTCTCAACTGGGACAAAGTGATGTCAGTACAGAGTACAAATAGTAAATGCCAGTGTTTACTAAATGATAATTTTGGGGCTGGTACATGTAATTACTGGTTTAAGTAACCACAGTAGCTGCAAGTAGTGAATCAGTGTTTAATTCAGTTTTTGTGAAAATTAAAAGCCCCTCATGGATCACTCCCTGCAGTACACGTGACCACCAGAACAAGCCATCAGATTGCATTGAGGTCCCGGGCCGACGTGCTGGTAAATAATTTTTCTCACCTCCCTTTTCTTATTCAATGCACACACGGCTGCCCAACAGCCAGAAAGAGAAATAACCACGGTAGGATTTGTAAGAGTGCAATAAGCTGCCCCATTACCAAACATATTTACAGTTACATAAAACAAAATAATAAAACCTGACAGCTTTACAAGAATAGATCACCTCCACCACTGGCCTGTATGTTTGTGACGATAACAGTTGAGGTGAGGGCCGCTTCCAGTACTTTTTTTTATAGAAGGTAACTCAGTTTTGCAACACCTTAAGAGTAGATAGTAAGGTCAGAGATTGGGTGGAGAAGATTAGTTGTGGATAGCAGGTGATTATTAATGGTTCTTGAGCTGACCAGACAACCAATCCAGTCCTTCGTAGAGGCCATCGCCAGAGGTGGCGCAGGTCGCTTGGATGTACCAGTTTCTGTTACGTAGGCTGTGGAGACCCAGCTTGTCTGTGAGTTCTGCTGCATTCATAGCATTTGGAAGATCCTACAAACAATAAACAGGTAAACCATTAGAAGCAAACCCTGTGAATACAACAGGTAAAACTGGCAGGCATTTGTTTTTCATAAACACCTGCTTGTATCAAAAGATTTCCACAAGTATAACTTACTTGTTTGTTGGCAAACACTAATAGCACGGCATCACGCAACTCGTCCTCTCCCAGCATTCTGGCGAGCTCGTCCTGAGCCTCCCCGCATCGCTCTCTGTCGTTGCTGTCCACGACAAAGATGAGACCTGGAAGAGCAAATGGGGAACAAATGAGTGTGGCTGGGAAGTATTACAACTTTTAAATACAAAGCAGAGTACATTTAGTGACTATTAAAAAAAGCCCAATACAAGGTTACTGATTTAAAGCCAATAAATATCAGTATTTGATTTAACATAATTGACCGTACCCTGTGTGTTCTGGAAGTAATGACGCCACAGCGGTCGAATTTTGTCTTGACCGCCGACATCCCATACTGTGAAACTGATGTTCTTGTATTCTACCGTCTCTACATTGAAACCTGTATAAAAAAAACACAAATAATCGAATTATTTCCAACAAAGTTCTTATTCAACAGTAATAAGTGCATCTTAACCCCACTATTTTACAGTGTTTGACTTACCTATTGTGGGAATGGTAGTCACGATCTCGCCAAGTTTAAGCTTGTACAAAATGGTTGTCTTTCCTGCTGCGTCTAGACCCACCATGAGGATCCTCATGTCCTTCTTCCCGAACATAGAAGAAAAGAGGTTTGCAAACATATTCCCCATGGCGACTGGTGAAGGGAACCTACTTTGGCAAAAGAAAAAAAAACCTGAGAAAAAAAAACAAGACAAAGTGTTCAAATTAGTGTGAATCGTGTTATTGTATGTACATTTTAAAAGATTGGTCAAGTGTTCAATTCATCCCTGGATCTGTCTATAATATTTTCGATAATTGCTTGGATGGAAAATTATTTTCTAAAGCAAAATGTGTAGAGCCTCTCCTTGTACTTGTGTTGCTAAATATTCAGAGACTGTATTAAATGTGACATAACACAAAATTACTTATAGAGTGGGGTCGCAAAATACAAGCTATTTCAAGAATGCTGTTTTCTACTGACAGGAATGACATATTGTCGCACTTGCTGATGATACTTATTGTCCTATGATTCAAAGTGCAGTTAATACATCCTTGGGAAGATAAGATGATTCGACGTATGACGTTCCTACAGGACACCGGAAATGAAATATCTCTATGCTCAATTGGTCGTTTGTTTCAGATATCTATATATTTTAAACAAAATACCGAGTCCCGACTTGTCCAATAAGATGTATTCCCCCAAAAGATCTCAAAATGGGCAATGTGTTTGTTACATAATCAGGGTGTAACGTAAGGTTGCGGACTGATGAGTTCACAAATGGGGTTAGCCTTTGGTAGCAATTAGCCGTCGTCCTGTATTAGTAAAGGTAGTTTATTCACCATGAAGACCATGTTAGGACACCGCCATTTCCGCAACGTGGGGACTAAATGAGGCTCACTGAAGTATATTATAGTTCATATTAGCTTGACAAGGTGCAATAGTAAAGGTTACCCGGCTAACCTACATAAACAAACAACAACGTTAGCTTGCTACATTGCTAATACCTGTCGGACCAGTTTATTGGCTACGTTCCTTCTTGCTACGATTCTCGTTTAATATTTTAATCCCAATTTAATACAGAAGACATGTGGGCGTTATGTGGTGGTGAAAATAATACAATAACAAATGTAAGTAGTTGACTAAAATAAGTTAGCTAGCATTATCGGTAAAGTTAGCTCTCAGCACCCAGTCAGTTTTTCTCCCGGCGTCCTGGATAACTTATTGGAAACGCAGTCACAGAGACGATTCAGCTAAAAAGCGCATAGCTATTGATGCGACCAACGTGACCTTCGGTGAAAAATTGCAAATTATTCGCTTAATTTAAGCCTATGTTACACACTTACACAGTTGATGTTTCCTTCCTTCTTCAAGGCGTTTCCTTCCTCAGGAAAATGGCGACGCTTTGACACGTCAGAGGTTCCGTTCCAGCTCAACTTCCGTGATCGTCCGACCAGGAGATGTCGCCCCTTGCGGTGGAGGGGAGAATAACAAGCACCGCTGACACATTGCTGGTTTAACCCGGTTTAACCAGTGGTAAAGTAACTACGTAGATTTACTCAACTACTCTACTTAATTGCAATTTTGGCAGTACTTTACTTGAGTATTTCGATTTTTTTCCCCTACTTTGTACTTTTACTCAACTACAATTCAGAGGTAAATAGTGTA